AAACACCCTGACACTAAAAATGAAGTGCAGCGCTTTTAGCGACAAGACTCCATTTTGCCTCTAAACAACATGGATTTTATTATATTGTGCCGAGATGTCAATTTTGTAACGATTCGTCTTGAGTTTTAAAGTGCATGAGGCAGAAAAATTTAAAAAGAAAGAGAATACAAAAAGTTTGTATTTTTCCTAGATGACTTGTTCTGACGTGTTCAAATTGTTTCATAGAGGAAAAATTTCAAAAATTCAAAGCTCCGTCGTGAAAATCTTTATTATAAATAATATTAAATCGTAAATTGATAATTAAAAAAATTTTAATTTGTTTCAAGAAATTGACATCCGAGGAGATGATCATGAGAATGAAGAGATCCGGCTTTTCCTCGTTGCCAAAATTGTTTTTATTCAAGAACAAAACGGCTTTATCAGTTTCAGTCACGGTATGCGACCCTTTTTCATGGGCAAATAAAAATACAAAAAATCAGCAAAACTGAGAAACTGAGAAAACACCAAATTTAAGCTTAAAAATTCAAATCTTAAAATTTAATTTTTAATTTTAAGATTCGAATTATCATGTGGTGTTTTTTTTTTTCAATTTTGCTTTCTTTATTTCTTGCTCATGAAAAAGAGTCGCAGACCGTGACCGAAACTAGTAGAGCCGTTTTGTTTTTGGAAAAAAAAAACAATTTTTGCAAAGAGAAATTTTTACTAACAATTTAATTGCTTTTAATTTAATTACTGTAAATTTGAATACATCGAATGCATCAAAATATGCGAGAAAATTTAAGAAAAAGCCCAGAAATTATAAAACTAAAGTCTCAGAAAGTTATATTTTGTAAAAAGAACCAAAACATTTACGTCTCACATTTTTTAACTAGAATACGCAATTCACGAATAACTGTTGGCAGAATGAATTTTGGAGCGAATTAAATTTAAAAAGAACTTTTTACCGGTCCATTATGTAATTTCCAAATAAGCCTTTATTTTCATCATGGAGGAAAACACGCGTTTCCATGGATTTTTTCAATTACCGGCGCCGTCACAACAAACTCCAACGCTGAAACGTACCTACTTGACGGCCATTTTCAATTATTCTCATAGTACCGGTCGTTAGGGGTTGGAGTGGAATCGACCTGGCTACTAATCAGTCTGTCTGGTTTATAAATTTCTGGAAATTCTTTTGTCCGCAGCTACATAATTCCCACTTCGTCAGCAACACGCAGTTACTTTCCAGGGAAAAAACGCTTACCAGTGCAATGCATTAGCCTAATGAGCTAATTGAAGGTTTAATTGAATTACGTGGAAATGGGTAAAATAAGTTTTTTTGGGGGGAATTAAAAAATAATGATGAAAATCGTGTCTGTACATAAAAAAGGTAAAAAAAAAAAAAAAATAATACCTCGACTGCTTTTGATTAGAATCGGCTCTGAAAATCGGCGCGCAAAAGTTTCTTCAAAGCGTCCTTTTGAAAACGTGTATGTGAAAAGAGCGAGTAAACGAGTTAGCTCGGCGGGCAAAGAGAGCTGCTGCTACGCTGCCGATCAGGCTCGTTCGTTCGTTGGTTCGTTGTCTAACGGTATAAGGGGTAATTGGATATTTTATGCTGCTGCGTTTGATGGAAAAACCGCAGAGCGAACCCTTTGATCTCTGGCCAAGTAAAACAAATTGATACCTTTGCCGTGCGGATTAAAATAAAAATAAAAAAAAAAAAACGGCAGTGCTCGATCTCTCCGGCGAAATTGCCGTCTTTATCTCAAAGAGCTCGAGTTTCGCGGTGAAATTTTGCGGCAACGCCCCAAAGGCTCTCAAACCGACTCTCGCTTTTATGAATATTAATGAGTGCGGCTCATGTCTTGCGCATGCAATAAGAATGGTTGAAAATCAGGAAATGAGGCGCCGCCGCCGAGCGGAAGAAGCGAGAGCGACATGTTAAAAGCAAGGGTGGCGCTCGGCAAAAAAGGAGAAAAGTTGTAGAAGAAGATGAGCTTTGTCGTCGGGGAGGAAAATGTCTGCGGATGGATTTATTTATTGTTTGCAGCACTCCCCGGTTCATCCATCTTCATTAGTCTGAAATTTGCCTTCGAGCTACAAATTGATAAATTGTACATTCGGAGAAATTATTGTTTTGTTGTGCGCATTGCGGTGATAGATCGCTTCTCTGCGGTGTAAATATTTAATTTCGTGTCGGCGCGCGCTTTATTGTCTCACTGTTTTATTACGACGAAATAATCTCTAATGGACCAATATAATAAATTTTCCTACCTGCATATCATAAAAACGGCGCCGCTGTGTAATAACAAAAGCGGGAGATTTCCGACAAAGCCCCTGGTGAGTAAGCTGTAAAATTTAATTTTTCCGCGCGAACGTTTTATTGCCGGACAACTAGCTCGACCCTTGCAAATTACGGATTTCACTCGCCCACCGAAAACAAATAACACCACCACGACTTTGCGTCGCCAGAAATGAACTTGATATACCAATGAGAGGATTTAACAATCAAAAAGTAAGAACGCGAGCAGACGTTGAATTTAAAAAATTTTGATTTTGTTAGTCTATTTTAATTTTCTTATCCTCAAGCTTTATTTAATTTATTTATAATTTTATATATTTATTTATTTATTTTCCTTTTAAATACAATACATTGCTGTAGTTATTTCGAACATTGATTCAAATTATACTTTGAATTACTTTCTCTGACTTTTTACAAATTAAAAATTAGATTTTATTTAAAATTTCACAAGTTTTTTAATTTTATCATGAAATGAAATTAATTTTTATATTTTTACAAAGTCTTTTTAATTAAAGTTATTTGTCTGTAGAAAAAAAGTAATAAATTGTTGAACAAAAATTAATTAACGTACAATAATTTTTTGATTCTATAGACTTATTAAAGTACAGACTTTTTTAAAGTGAAAATAGGGCCCAGTAGCCTTTTCTTTGTCTTTTAATTTTATTTTTTATTAACTTTTGCTACGTCTTCGAAGCATATATATTCAATAATGATCTTGAAGGAACTTGGTAGAATTCTAAGAAACCATTAACTTTCGTTCGTTTCTCCCCCTGAACACAAATTCGGCTCTCAGAGTGGCCCTCTTGAAATCGATTGGAGCGATTTTTCATCCACCAAAGAGCCGCTCTCGCCTTTTATCTCAAGGCAATTCCTTCCGTTGCGTTTAAAAGGGTGTAATTAAGTTGGAAGTGGCTTCGCTTTTTTCCGGAAAATTCGTCCTCGGAGCTCTTTCGGCGGTTAAGACCTTCTCAGGCGTCTCACGTTGCGCTGCACCTAAAAGCGCGTGTAGACACTTTGGCCGCACACGTATGTACGTATACAAGGAGGCCTCCGGTGTTTGTGTTTTTGCGGTTAAGGGCACGCGCCATTTCCCTGCGAGCTTCCATTTATGCCCTGTCTGGCGTTGCACGTCGGTGAATTATTTTTGCATGAGGTCAAAAATGGGGCGCAATAATCACGCACTTCGGGCCATTGTTACTGCCAACAATAAAGCTCAATGGCCCGGAATTGTGCGCGTTCGGGTTTATTTCTTCGACACCACCCCCCACTTTGATACTTTTTTCATCATGTCCCAATGGTATTATCGCTGGGCAATTTCAGACCTTTGTTATTTTTTCCTTATGACAATAGGCGGTCGTATAAATGCGCAAGAGCAGTTTGATGTGCAGATTGCGATTGTGAAACACGCCCAAATCTGCTGGCAAAGAGGCTTATACTGCCGAGATGAGAGCGCATTTCAAACAAACCAGAAATAGCAGCTTTCCCCCGTACGCTAACTCTCCACTTTTGGCAGCCTCTCTTGCGAGCTTTGCGTCTTTATATGGTGCCATTTCGGCAGATTAAAATCATTTTAATTTCAACTCAATCCGTGAGGAAAAAGAATACAATCATAATTTTTATCTTTCAGGTTAATCTCGATAGTATCAAATTCATGTTCTCCAAATAGTTGGGAATTCATTTCATGTTTAAGAAACTGTTCTTGAAATAATCCAAAGCTAGAAATTAAAATTTAATTTGATGCAATTTTTTCTTATATATTTCATGGGAAATAGCGTAATTAGTTTTATTCTTGTAATGATTCATGTAAAACAAAAACAAATATTATTAAAAATTAAAATAAATAAAATTAATAAACTAAAATTGTAACTATATTGTCCATAAATTGTAAGAAACCAATAAAAATTAACTGTTTTATTAAATTTATATTAATTTAATTTAAATTTCTATTTTTGATAAATCCTAATATCAAGCATCGATATTATTACCTTTGCGATAGTTTAAAAAAAAATAATAAAGAAAAATTTGTTAGCTTTAACTTCACTCCAACGAGAAACACTGCTCTCTTTAATTTTTCTCACATTATTTTGAAAGCTTGGATTACACCCTGGGGATCAAAAGTATTTAAAAGTGGGGATCCTGCAACCCACGCCGAGAGGCCTTCTTCTGCTTTTTACCTCAAAATGAGAGAAAAATCAATCTCTCCGGCAGCGAAAGGTCACGACTGCCAAAAGGAGAGACTGGAAATGCATCCAGCGGCGCCCGATATGTGCCGAGAGATCTGAGATTACATCTGGTATTTGGCTCACGTAGCCTTTTAGACTTGCTGAAGAAGGATTAGTTTCATGCTATCCCCGGAGCTCCTCCAATATCAGCCTTTAAATGAAGGCGGCGCGCAAAAAGAGCGTCGGCCCGCGAGTGCCAAAGTTTTGTCAACATTCCCGGCCGGCCGACTTTGATTTTGCGCCACGTGCCGTGCGTATTTTACATTAGAGAGGACGGCCCGGAGAATAGAAAAAGTTTGCATCTAATTATATTACACATGAAAAGAGCCCTTCCGAGCGAAGTTGGCCTCCGCGAAAAAGTGTGTGTGAATGGCGCGCGTAAAAAAGAAAATGCGGTGGCTCCGAGATAAAAGTTTATATACGCGCCATTCCCAGGCTTTATTTCTCTCCAGCGGCAGATAATATAATGGATTTGCTTTCTCTGTCCGAAACAGGTGCTGTGGTTCCGCGATACGCTGCGGCTGGACACAACAGAAAGGATGTATGCAGAGTCCAGGGGCAGCAGACACACCCTCTTCATCCGCAAAGTGGACGCCTCCGACTTTGGAAACTACAGCTGCGCCGCCGATAATGCACTCGGCAAGAGTCGTCAATTCCTCGAGCTGTCAGGTACAGTACAAGAAACTTCTTTCCTTTTTTTATTTGCGGCCAGACACACCTCCACTTCTCTATCGGTGGCTCGCCACAAGTTTTGCCGCAAACTCTCTCCAACAGAAGTCTAGACTCACACTTTTTGCGGTTGTTTCTGTATATTTCATTGCGAAAATAACAAATAACAAGATAGACCGAAGTTTTACTTATTTATAAATAAATATATTTGTTATTTTACTTTCATTCCCTTATTTCTCCAAAAATTTTAAATCAATTTTTAAACACCTTATTTATAAAAGATTGAAACCGGGCGAACCTCGTTGCTAAGAAAAAATGAAAAAATATAAAGGACAACTGACCCCAAAGGCGACCTGCGGTCTGCTGGTACTTTAAAACCTAGGATTTCTTGTGTCCGACTAAAACTAAGTGGGAGGAATTAATAAAAAATTAAAAATAAAATGGGAGATTTTAATTTTAATAAACAAAAATTGCAGAAATTAATTAAGCAAAAAAGTCAGTCAACAGCTTCATACTGTGATTTTGGCAGAAATTTCCAGGGCAATGAACCCAAAGACTTTTCCATTTTGTTACCATTCAACCTTATTTATATTTTGGCTTTATTTAAATTAATAAATAAAAATACAGCTTTTTAATTAATTTTTATTTTTGTCAATTAACAAATAAATTTGTAATTTATATTTTATTTATTAAAATATGCAAGTAAATTAAATTATACTGAATAATTTATACCAAAAACCACATAATATTCTTATTTTTCAATTAATTTTTTTAATTATTAAAATAATAATATTCACGTTATCAATTTTTCGAAGTAATTGCAAAACCTCAAATCTTACGCACAGGTTTTTCTTTGTTATATTATTCATATTAAACTATCATTTTCAAACTGAATAAAAAATTAGCGGTCTTAAAATTGTTAAGGTCTTTCAAGAAAATTTGCATGCATGTTATTCTGGAGCACAACATGTTATTCATTGAGAAATCGTACCAAGAAAAGCTAATTTGAGAAGAAGCAGTCAAGCAATTCAAACAAGACCTTAATTGAGATGCAAACACACACCACACTAATCCCACGTGCAAGTGGTGGCGCAATCCAACGGAATTAAATTACATTTGATTCGTTGCATTTGCTAATTGCGTATTCATGAATGCACACCCTCGTGTCGGTGCTGTTGGCAGTGCTAGACGTCGCTAGAAAGCACACACGAGCAAACGAGCGTTTTGCTCATTTTTCGTGCCGTTTGAATGTAATAATAAGCAACGCTGGCTGCCCTTTTGTGATGGAGCGAACGAGCCGCCTCTCGACAATACATAAAGTATATTGAAATATGAATGCTTTAATTGCCCACCATTGTGAGCCAAACTCAATTACTGCTCACTAGAGGCCAGTCAAAGAGAGAATGGGGAGCAAAAGGAAGCAAAAAAATTCCTCTCTTTTCCATCAAAGAACGTGTATGATCTATAAAAGCCAAAGTCTGCAATTCTCAATGTGAAAATGTATAATTAAATTTTGCCGTTAATTAAGAATAAATGGTCAAAGAACGAAATTTACAAATTAAATTCCCTTTTTGTAAAAATATTTTCAACAATAATCGTCCAATTTTTGTATAAATTACTAGGTGAAAAAATTGTAACTGAAAAGAATTTTTGATTATTGAATAAAATCACAAAATTAATTTAAGTTCTAATTTTTGTCAAAATATAGTTTCAATGTCATGAATTATGGCTGCAGCCCGCAACCGAAACATCCAAAATTTCAAATCACCAAGACAGAAATTTAAATTTAAATTCTACAACTTTTATTTATTTTTTTCTTGGTGATTTGAAATTTTGGATGTTTCGGCTGCGGGCTGCAGCCGTAATTCATGACATTGAAACTATATTTTGACAAAAATTAGAACTTAAATTAATTTTGTGATTTTATTCAATAATCAAAAATTTTTCTCACTTTACAATTTTTTCACCTAGTAATTTATACAAAAATTGGACGATTATTGCTGAAAATATTTTCACAATTTTTTTTTATTGAAGCCCAACAGCCAAAACATGTAAACGATAAACTACTCACAAAACCCATCGAGGAAAAGCCGGTTTTAAATTTAATTCAACCCTCGATCGTGAAATTCTACAAAAGATAGCTAACAAAATCAAACTTTATCTCCTTAATTATCAAAGAAAAGCTTCAAATTAATGCTTAATGCGAAATAAATTCGAAAAATTATCTCCCCTCCGAATCACCCGCACCGTCTGGTATTAATAAGTCTTACCAAAACACCCTAATTATTGCTAATCACCGCAATCGGACATCTTCACAAATCCAAGGTATAAAACTGCCATTTACCCGCCCCTTAATTATTGCACCCCTCGCAGACGGTTGGCTTGAGGCTCCATGAATTCAAATCGTGCGGAGAGAAATATATCCTCTGTGCGTGATACCGCGACCCCAGAATGTCCGAATAATATTATTACTGGAGAGAGTGTGGCCCGCAATAATAGCCTCTCTAGGGCCGCCGCCTCCGTCTCGTGATATCTCTCAGGCGCGGCTCTTCTTTGTGTCTAGAATACGCAATCCGAGTGGCCGTGATATTGTGGAAAACGATGACCGCCCGTCCGTCCATTCGTACGCCTTTCATAGAAGATAGACTTTGCCGGAGCTCCGAGATTTATTAGACCCGGCGCACAATGGCAATCCGATCATCTTAACGCCCGCTCTCTTTTTTTTCTCCATTTCTGATACGCTCTCTTTCTCCCCGACCCCGTCTATATCTTTTTCTCAATTTCGCGCTCATACCTGCTTACAAGTCTAGAAAATTGATACAGCAGCGCAGCCCCAATTTTCTGCGCCACTGGACCTCAATTGATACGCTGACATGATTTACACGGTTTAAAACATTAATTTTGCACTCGCACAGTGGGAAAGAAAATTCCTCAACCGAGAGCTAATCCAATTTTTACGAGAATTTTTTTCAACTCTATCTCTTTAAAAAAAAAAATTATTGTGACTGTCAAATAGAAATAGAGAAGAGCTTTAACCTGTCACAAAATTAAATTAAAAAAATCTTTCAATTAGACTTTTATTTCTCTCGTCTTATTTTGATGGAAAAATTCATCAATTTCAAAATTATAATTCTGCATTTTAATATTAAATTCCAGAAATATCTTTGATATTTGCTAAAGTAAATTTCTGAACTATTCCCATTCAAAACTTTTTGCTACTAATTAATTTGCCTTTGAGCAAAAATTGTCCAATGACTGGATGTGACGCTTGACACTGAGGTAAATAAATGAAAATGGCAGCCAACTTTTGCAGCGAAGCCACAGACCATCTACCAATTTAAATGCTAATCAAGCTCCAATGGCACCGTAAATGCGTTCGAGTTTCCTGGTAAAAACGGTGTTGCGAAAATATTTGCTAAACGATCAGGAAGTCTGATCGACTTTCCGCCTCCATTAAATAAAACTTTCCAAGAAGTAATTTAACCTAAATAAATAGGAAATGGTTTCGAATTCTTTTTTAATTTGGCTACATTTTTCTGTTAAAATTTGGCGGTTCTTTTAAATTTCAAATTTTCCTCCTAATTTTATTTATTGTTATAAAATTGTAGCCAAGCAATAAATTCGCAATTGTATTTCCACCTCTCAGCGTGGCAAACTAGGTTAGTGCAACTTTTTGCCCGAAAGCCAATTCCGCCGGATGAAATCTCGCCCGCCGCGGCTCGGCTTGGCCACAGTGCATTGCTTATTCAGAAGGATACGCCAATTTTCTCTTATGCAAACGCTCCGACGTGACCTCTCGGCGGTCCATGTTTTATTTATCTGCATGCACAGTGGCCCTCTCGACTACTCTCGCGTCCCTTTGTTTTTCTTATTATTCCCTGCCGACTTAAACAGATCGTTTTTGCGGCCGTCGACTACGGCACTGATCGAACTTCACAGTCCCGGCGGCATTAAAGTAGTTTGACCTTTTCCAGCCTGATCATAATTGATTTTGCCAAAAGCAAAGCGGCGTTTGAACCTCGACAAAAGCCTAACTGAATTTTTTACACTTTTCCCCAGCGGTATTTTCCATTATTTTTTCTAATATCCACTTTAATATTATAATAATGAAGAAACAAAATAATATTACCTATTAATTTTGTATAAATATAAAAATTTTGTAAATACCTCTAATTTTGAAATTTAGTTAATTGCAAATATTTGGCTCTTTTGCTTTTGGCAACAAAAGTAAGTTCATTAACACAAGCTTGTTTTTTTTTTCTTTATTGCAATCCCCGAAATTCACGCAACTAATTAAAATTTCACGCACGGGGTGCCATATTTTCGGTGCGAGTTTGTGTGTCTGGTCTTTTTTTTCACGCTCGTCTTTAATTTATTTCATCGAGTTGGCGCAGCCCGCCCAGCAGCTTTTTAACAGCGCTCGCACCGCACTCGGCGAAAAATAAATTCTAATTTTCCATTCCCAGGCCGTCCGAACCGAGCCATTTTCCTGAGCAACCCCCACGGACGCTTCAGGGATACGTACAACATCTCCTTCTCTGTGGACAGCTACACGCCGGTCGAGGAGTACAAACTCTACTTCAGGAAACTGCCCGTAAGTACTGTTTACAGCTTTCAACTTTTTGGGGGGAAAGGTTTTTTTTCATGGGCGTTTTTGAATGGAAATCTCAGCAGAAATAGAGCAACAAATTGTTTGAGGGGAATATAAATTGTTCTTATAATTTATTTAATTTAAATTCTGTCAGAAAAAATATTTAAAAATTTCCGAGACTTGTAGCTTCATATTTTTCTCTGCTTATGAGAAGTAAAAAAAGCATTGAGCTCTTTTTAATTAAAGTGTCTCGGAAATACCAGACAAAGAAATCTCTCTTTTCCCTTTGTTTATTACTACGTGTCTGGCTGAGAAAAATATAATTTTAAATCATCGACTCCGTACTTATTCCATTGCCAAGTTTCGCGACGATGCATATCTTTGCAAAACACGGCACAAATAAGTTTCATATATATATTCGTTTATTCTCATAGCTGCAGCAAGAGCGAGTAATTTATCTTTGGTATAAATGGCGGAGATGTGCGAGATAAAATATAAGCCGCGCGCAAACACACCCAGTTCTAAAAGCTCTCGGGGAAAAAAGTATTGCGCCATTTCCTTTTCCACCACGAGTCTGGATGAGATTGTGAGACAGGCGGGGAGCAATTTTTCTCGAAATTAAAGTAGATCATCCCGTTGCTGCAGGGGCGGCCGTTCGCTTGATAAGAGACGGTTTGTGAGATGTTATGAAATTTCTCAGAGATTGCGTAGCCCCAGAATTTATTGAAGTCTCATATTTCCCCGCAATCAGTTTTCAGTACAAAATAAACTAGCATGTTGGGCTTGGAAGAGTTGCATTTTCAATTGTTTTTTCTTCTTCTAATATTTTCAAAATCCAAAATTATCAGAATAAAATAATAATTATCAATTTTGTATCTCCTTTGATGAATAACTTAACTTAACTTAACTTGTAAAACGTCAAATTTAATAAATAAATAAATTTAAATTAAATTTTTTTATTTTTCAATATTTTGGTATTGTAACTATTAAGTAGAAATTAATATTAAAATAAAATTAATTAAATTAATTAAAAATTAATAAATATTGTAATAATTTTATTTAATATAAAAAAACCTGAAATAATTTAAAGCTTTTTTTAATTATTTAGGTTTTTATTTAAACTATTTTAATAATAGTTATTCAAAAGATTACTTTTTTATCACAAGAAAAATAATTTCCCAACACAATAAGAAGGGCAGGACACTATAAATAGGCATGACTACATCGCCTTGCCACATTTGTCCTCCTCACCAAGATCTTGACCCCGACAGAAAAAAAACAAGGCGTACAAGAATCTTCTTTTCTGCTCGCTCCCCGTGCGAAGACAGTACATATTGTACAATAATGAGACTGGGCTTGATGGGCAGTGTACAGAAAAAGCATCAAGGGGTGCTGCTTGTAGTTGCAGGCATTAATTTTTGCTCGCGCGGTGACCTACATTACACGGAGAGCGCTCAAGAAAGGGCCTCTCCACACCGAGCTCTCATATCAATGACCTCTACATGTGGAACTTGCGTAGGCCGTGTGCAGCGCAAAGCAAAGTTGCGTTTCGTGGAAAGAGAGCATAATTGCGAACTGCAGCAACTCAAGAGTGCGAGACCGCGCGCGTTTCTTCAGACAAACATTACAAATGCACACACTCTGTTTATACACTTCACTCTGCGTTTGTGTTGCGCAATTGCATAAATCTTTTTAACAATAGCAAACAATGATGAAAGCTTGAGAAAATCTCATGTAAATTCCAAGAGAGAATAAATTAATTTAAAAAATGTCCCCGATTTTTAAAAATAATTCGAAATTCTGAATCTAACATTAATTTCTACTTAATTTCAGGCTAAAAAATGTTTATTTTAAATTAATAGGTATGGAATCAACTTTAAACTAAAATTTCTAAACTATTTATTTTGAGACTTTTAAATTATTCTTATTCTGAATTTGGCTTCTTTTAGATTTTATTGTTCAATGATAGTTTATACAAATCAATTAAGGGCAAAAATTAAGTGTTAAGAACAAAAACCAAATCAATATGGCTGTTTGTAAGCGTGATTCTTACAGCTGATTCTTTACACTTTAGTGTTCATGTTACTTTATTTTTGTGCTGCCTCAAGAAGTGGTTACTTGTGTATCGGTGCTTTTTTTGGTAATTATAATTAGTTATTCGCAAAAAACCACCACTAGCGCAAGAATTTTGCTAAAACTTCCGAGATCAAAAAGACCCCATCCACCGCAGTGAGCCTCGGTTGACTTGGTTTTTGTTATTTTCACTAAGGTTTTGTCCTTATATTTAAAACTACATACAACATTTAAACTTAACTTTCTGAACTATTTGAGACGTTTAAATTCTTCTTATACTATTTTTGCTTAGTTTACTAATTTTATTGTTTAACGATAGTTTACACAAACCAATTAGCTATTGAAAGCTGTTCAACATTATGCTCTAATTACTGTAAATAATTTTCAATTTAATTTTGCTTGCTCCCTTTAGTACATGACTACGTGCAAGTTAACACACAGGTGCATGGAGTAAAGTTGTAAATGTTGCGAGAGCAACACGGCCAAAGCTTGTGGGGCTGCGGATCCACATAAATTCCAAAGATTATGTGCTGCTCGCTCGCTTAGGCAGTCGACGGCGAAACGCGCTAATCCAAATTTGTGTCTGTGCGCGCGAATCAGGCCGCTCTCTAAGTTGCACAAATCCTCTTAATGAGCGGCTTTGCCTGCGAACTGCATCTGACCTCCTAATAACATTAATTTTCCGCTGCTGCATATCAACTTCAAATCCACTTGGCGCGCAATAATTTGCATCAAAAAAACGTTATGCATCCGTCGCTACGTTCGCGTCGAGCAAATTGCATAACTTGTAAGTTTGCAGGCGCTTGAGAGCAATTTGCTAGCGTACGTGAAAGCTAAAGGTAATAGGCACTATGCTCTTTTCATCTATTAATTAGTCCAGAAAGCAAAGTTAAAAATTAAATCAGTGAAGCCTTGATTCTTAGCAATGGAACAATTTTTTAAGTGCTGCACAAAGTTAATTGAATTTGCCACTTTGGCTCAATAAAAGTGTACTCTGAGTAAGATGTTGCAACATTAAATGAATTATTTTATTTTATATGATATAAAACGCTGGATAATTTAAACACTAATTTAGAATTCATTATTTATGTTAATTTAATTATTTACGAGTTGCAAAAAAATATTTTGAGCAATATATTTCTAAAAATTATAATTACGATAAATTTCGTTTTTCAAATTTCCACATTTCTTTAAAATTGTTATGAAAAAACTTAATAAACATAATTGAACTTTTTCAAACTACCAATAAAATTCAAATTTATGAATTTCTCGTGTTTCAGGACAACGACTCTCTGCTGTTCGGAAACCACTTGGGACACGGCGGCAGCGAGCGCGGCAACAACCACCACGGCATTCCCATCATCGGCGGGTACAGGGGTGCGATGGGCACCAACGAGTGGCGGGACGTGATCATCAACGTGGACAGAAACGACAAGAGCACCCGCCGAGTGCACTACATGATCCACGGCCTTGAACCCGGCACCGAGTACGAGGCCAAAGTGCAGGCGCGGAACCGCTTCGGCTGGAACAACGTCTCCACCGGATTCCGATTCGACACTCGCGGATCAGGTAAAAAAACGCACGGATTAAATTAAAATTTATTCTATTTGAACCTTAAGAAAGTAACAATGAGCTTAAATTTTTGAAGTATTTATTTTATTAATTTATTGGGAATTTTTTAGCTTTTACTTTTTTTATGGAAATAAACTTAAATTAAACCATCTTCCCTGTAAAAATATTTGATCGCGTCTGCTTTGATCTGCGAGGGAGATGATCAGAGTTTCAGAACGCAATCGCCAAGCAAAATGTTTTTGTTCCTCCCTTTTGTATTCAAAGCCGTCTTTCGGCTCATCACGCAGAGAAGAATGACGAATTCAAAGGAAATCTCAATAAAGAGCTGCGTCACTTTGAAATTTCCGGCCCTTTTTCTCTGTCACCGCCGAAATGACATCTTTTAATCCTCAAAGAGTTATTTTTCTCTCTCGTCCCCTCCTTTCACCCGTTCCCGAATTTTGTGATTAAAGAGGAATGTCTCGTTAATTTTGGCTGCCGTTTTTTACCATTGGCTTTGTAAACGTCCAGTTCTGCATGATATTTGTGTGTGATTAATTAATTTTCTTACAAAAATTAATAATTTCGAAATTCGTGGCTGCTTCTAATTGTGTATCATGTCAACCCTACCAAATTTCTAGCCTCTGTCGTGAAAAAGCGCCTTTAAAACTTCAAAGGTATTATTAAAAAAATCAGAAAATCAGAGCAATTTGTCGAATGCTCTCGAGAGCGAACAAACACATTGTAAACCTCTTTCTTGCTTTCTTTATTTTCCTCTCTCTAACAATGTCATGTACATTTTTATCTCACACTTGTTTCATCCGACTCTTGTTGCTGCAGAGAGCTCCCTGTACGATCCTGATACCGCCGAGTTCGCAGGTCAGTAGACTCTCGTTTCGATCGAATATTTAATTAAAAAACTTCTCCTCACTTTAGCAGAATGGCATGTGTGGCACTTTTTTGATTTCCTGCTTTTTATAATTGATCGTCTTTCCTAAAAAATTTCGATTTATCAGTTCTGCTTATTTCAATCTTTTTCATGTGTGTTTCCTTCCTTAAATTGTTCTTCTCGTCGAAAATTTTATCAATTTGATGGTGAGCAAAAAAAAAATGGTTCAAATGGCTTTGCATTCTGGTAAAAGAAATTTTCAGAATTTGCTGGTTGTTTATCTGATATTTTGCGATCTTCTTGGTGGCTCTGCTCAGCTTTTTAAAATTGAAATAAATAACTTTTGTGCTCATTTTGGCTGAAATGTTTGTTGCAGAACCAGAAGTGCGTGACCTGGGGATGACCGCCGCCGCCGGAGGTGGCAGCTCGATTCGAGTCAGCGCGGGCCAAAGCGGCCTCTTTCTAGCCTTCACACTTTTCATGTTTCTCACGGTGGTCGGTGCAGCCAGCTGCGGTTGCGTCGCATCATAGACACCTCAAAAGTAAGCTTTTTATTATAAATTTTGTAAATATTTTATTTAAAAAACTTTAAAAGTAATTTTTTAATCATTTTTTCTGGATACTTTAAAAAATTATTTCTTCTAAAAATAATTATTTAATATTTTATTAATTGAATGTAATTTAATTAAGTCAATTTTTTTTCAATAAATTAATAACATAAAATTTACAACTATAAAACTTTGAATAATAATTATAATTTATTTATTTATAAAATCTTTTTTATTCCTTTTATTACAATATTTATTTAATGATTCATTCGATTTTGATAAACTATTTTTCTATTTTAAAAACAATTTTTTAATTTCAATTGTTGAATTAATTTTCAATTATTGCTTTGTTGCAGGTTAGGTTGTGGCAAAGTCCCTCCTAAGGTGCACAAGAGTGTGGCTGGGCCGATTCAAACTGAATGGGTGCGCGAATGAGAAGAATATGAGCTTTGATATGAGTGCGTCGATCGTCATCCTAGGCTTAACGTTGCATTTAAGAAACAAACACTCCACCCATTAACTACGGATCCTCTTCAATACCATATTTCTGCGTATATGCTTTTCAATGTTGCTACGACCTGATTTAACAAGAAGCAAACCTAATTATAAATTAATCACTAAAATGCAGTCGAATGTGCTTAGAAATTACCACAGACTTCCAACCACTTGCATATTTGGGAACTGATTTTTGTAATTATTTATAATCACGGAATTTTGGACTTTTTTTAAAATCAATTTGAAAAACCTGTAAATAATGAATGTTGTGACCCACACTCACCCATATATGGATATTATTACACATGCTGATGAGACTATGCCATTGAATGTAAGCAGCATTTATTGTTACCACCCTATCAGAAATTACAAAAAAGGGCAGTGAATTATGTCATAGCTCGAGAGTAAAAAAAAAAAAAAAACCTCTGAAATATTTCCGATATTTAAAAAAAAATAATGCTGCCCTCATCATAAGTGTTGGATTTTGCACGCTTTTTATGTTCTTGATGGGTCCAAAAAACAAAAATAGCTCTGGTAAAAAAATTATTCTCAAAACCAAACTTACATAATACATGTGAATGATGTTATATTGTTGTAAAAAAATAACATTTTAAGTGCATACGTATGTGTTTCACAAATCTCACAGGACTGACATTTACAAGAACAGAGATTCGTCACCTCTTTTTAGAAGTGAAAAATAGTGCGCGAGTTGAGATGCTAAAAGTGCGGATGATGAATTAATTAGGTGTGAAAAGAGTTAGGCACAAGGATTTCTATACTCGTTTTCAAAAGTGCAGCCAATATTTTTTAACTGCTGGTGATGAATGTGAACAACAAAAACACGGACGCCGAGTTTTCCCGAGTGCGCCGCAAAACGCTGATGGAATGAAAAATCAGCGAACACAAAAAATTATAAATATAAATTTCTGTCGTAGATTCATAGCTATAAAGATAATCTCACGTTTTGTTCCTCATCTCACACTAACACAATTAAAATTTGAAAGAATTCATATTCAACATGCCAGCTGAAGATTCTGCTCTTAATCGAAGAGTTTTAAAAAAAAAATCACAAAATGTACATATTATTTTGTATTTTAGACACATTTTTTGTTTCCTGGTTAGTCATTGAAAAGACAGGAAGTTTTAATTATTAGACACGTTGATACAGCAGAGACACGATTAATTTGTTTCCATTTTTTGCTTTTCATTTTAAATTCGGCTTGAGCAGAAATTTAAATATGATACGCAAAATCAATCAAACGAAAATTCATCAAATAAAAATACTGCATGTGTATAAGATATTTTATCACATATAGAACCACCGTAGGCCTATTGTGATAATTGGAAATATATAATTTGTGTTGATATTTTCGCACAGCTCCCGACCGACAACAACTGCTCTCTCTACCAACAAACTATTCCTTTACACACACTCATATTATGATTGATGCTGTATTTTAGAAGATAATCTCGAAGAAAAAAGAAATAATGTTACCATATATTTATGTCGCCCTGCCACAAAGGCAGCTATTTAAAGACGAGATTACGAAAAAAAAATTTGTGTCCATACGTAGATGTTGCTGTGTATATAACAAAAACTTGATTCTCATTTCTCTCCTAAGTGAAAAGAATATGCGGATTTGACAATTTATAATTTAGAGCAGACCCTCGGCCACGCGAAAAGATGATTATTAATTTTCGAGCTGGCATATTAATGCCTATTTTTGTAAACGACAAAGTCTTTTCTAAAAATGCCCGACTAGATTTGATTTTAATGCACCAAATTTGAAAGAAAAAAAAAATGTTGAGAATAAAATTACGGAGCAGTCTTTTGTTGTCTTTGATCAAAGATATTAAATCTATATTTTGGTGTGCGCATGCATGTTGCACTCGATATGAATAGAAAAGTTGTGGAAAAAATCTTTGTATACTTCAGTGTCTGACATCAAAAATCAACTCGATAAAAAAAGTGAAAAATGCTTAGGAAAAATGTATGAGAAAATTTAACCATTTCCAAGATCCATACAAAATTATAATAATATGATGTGAATAAACTGTTTATACTGTAAACCTAAAACATACATTTTATTTCTTCCAGACTTAATTTTTATCTGGTTTTAAAATGGAATATTTTAATGACACGCTTTTGATATTCTTGTTTAGTATTTATTATTTAAATGCTTGACATTCACATGTGCTCCTGGAGCAACAAAATTTTTATCTTTACACACAGAGATCTCACATATACGCCATTCAATTCAATTGTTTAAACTTAAAAAACAATTTGCTTGCAGTTTTCTGTTAGTGACGCCGGAAAGTACCCTTTATAGTAACAACAAGAATGAAATGAAGTCTGCCTATTTACACCCATTTTAAAGTTCCGACAAACTGACAGTCCTCCTAATGCAATGGTTCGTCTATCAATTAAGTTACTCGCCGTGAATGTTGAAGAGTTTCGCAACTTCGTTCAAATCCTCGAATTTCTTTCCTTCTTTGATGACCTGAAAGGAAAATCGAAAGGATCAGGAAATAATTCTGTTGCAGGGGCAAATTACTTGTCTGGCGACGCTCATTCGATTGAAAACGTTCCAAAGAACGATGCCGACCACTATGTCGTCTCGCAAGTAGAAAACAACCCCTTTTCCGTAATCTTCACCATCCTTAGGTCCACGAGGCTGTTCTTGAGTTGCAGGTTTGACGGGGGCAGCGTTCTAGAATTACATTGGAGATATTATTAATTATTTCAAACAAATCATACAAACAAAATACATAAAGCATGCGATAAAAAGTGGCACATTTACCTCAGCATCCTATATTAGCAGCACAAACAGTCAGGAAAACAAATTGATTTTCGTTAATATCACAACAATTCACAATATTTTATGAAAAATTAACTCACGGATTCCGATTTCGACCGATCTCCCTCTCCTGAAGCTTCAACAGCAGCTTTCGGAGTGTCTAATTCGGTGGCTTTTGCAAACACACCTACGGTTGGCAGAGAAGAATCAACAATTCCGATGGCCTCGTAACCAACCTCGGGGCCGAGGTCAGACCAAAACATGCTCTGGTGCCAGTACGGCTTGCCTGGAAAATTTTAATTAATAATTACCCGTAATTACCAAAACTATAAACAAAGATGAATTTACCTGCACCAGTCATATTTTCACCGGCAAGTCTTCCAGAAACAACGGCATGATCGTGATGTTCTACTCTGCGTCGGCCAAGCTTTACGTCAAAGAAGCAAGCGCAATCTCCAGCCTAACAATAAGATGAAAAAGCAGTTTCAATTTTTGTTCTAGCCTTTTACAATGATTTAATAAAAAAAAGTCAATACTGACCACCCAAAGGTTGGACCGCGCCTCCAACTCGGCATTCACGAGGAAACCTCCGAGTTCTTCGTGCACCTCAAGGCCAGACGTGTTTGCCAACTGAGTGTTCGGCTGCAAACCGACAGCAACAACGGCATGGTCTGCATTGATCTAGACAAAAATAATTGTAATTTTTCAATTACAGCAATTTTAGAATCATTGAAGAAAATTACAATGTTGCCATTGTTGAGTTTGATTGCAAGTTTTCCTTTATCGAGGCTAACACCGGTCACAAACGCCTCCGAGATAACTTCAACCCCTTCGTTTCGAACTTTGTTAGTCGTCCACTGGCTCAGATACTCGGGGAGCACTTTTCCCATGTTGCCCTTTTCAGGATAAACTTGGATGATTTTGGGGTTGCTCGCCAACGTTTTGCCTGTTGATTAAGTAAATAGTATTTTACTTTTTCAAAACAAAAACCCAATACTTTTCTTTCCGAGGGCGCACACAAGTTCACTGCCGAGGAATCCTCCGCCAATGACGACAATGCTCTTCGCAGTGCTGGCAACTGCGTCCAACTCCTGGAAGTCGGCAATGCCTCGGAACAGTGTCACCTTGTCTTTGACTTCATCACTGGCCTTGTCGAAAATGCTCAAACTTTTGGGAGTTCCTCCTGTATTTTTTTTAATTAGTTTCATTCAAAATTTTAATCAAAATCAAATACCAGTTGCGATCAGACACTTTTCAAACTGGATTTCCTTTCCACCGGTCAGAATCGCCTTCTTTTCGGCCAAATCCAAACGCTCCACTTTCCATCCCGAGGCCACCGCTACTCCTCCGTTTTCCTTCGTGTCCAATTCTTCAACTTTGCAGTAAAACTGGTCAGGCTCAAAGTAAAGGCTGAAAAATATATTTATTTGTGAGAACAGAGTAAAAATCTTCATGTAATTGCGGCATGTGGGGTCTTTTTGACCAACAATTTGCAACAATTCCTATTTTTTTTTCTCGAAAATATTGCATGTCAAAATTTTGACAATTAAACAAGTATGATAATAAATTTCCGACCTTCTTTCCTTTCCATTCCACTGCTTGAATTTCAAATTTTTAGTCGCCTCCTGATCGTCATTGAACCACAGCTCTTTCGACAAGGGAGGTCTCATGTAAGGCAAGTGGCCTTCCTCAGTCACAACTAGCACCTGAAAATTTCAATTTTTCCTTTCACTGAGGAGGAGATTTTCGCAAGAATTCAAACCTTGGCCGTGGGATCTCTCGACTTGATGGCGCGGAATGCAGCAAACGAGGCTGTGCCTCCTCCGATCAAAAGGTAAGGTACTATGTTTGGAATATCGGCTGGATTGACAGGATTTCTTACGACTGCTGGCCTAGTTTTAACTGTGATTGGCAAAATTTGAGTTAAAACTAAGGAAAGAATTTAAATTTAACATTGAACTACCTTTCTGCTGAGCTGGTGATTTTTTTATTTTCTTAGGTGTGTCGAGGCCAGATGGCTCGAAAATGCCAGATTTGTAAACCTGCAAAAGATAATTTTTTAAATTAAAATGAATAGAGTTTGTCTCAAAATCAAAGGAAAAATATTCTGCAATTTAAATTAGAGACAAAATGCTTATTTTTTCTCTTATTACACAAACCGCAAATTTCAAAATTGTATTTTAATTAAACAAATAAAATTCCATCAATTTACTGTTCTGATATAATAATAATTATTTTATGTACCAAGGCTGCAGTGACTGCCGTGACGGCAACTCCGGCGATGATTTTGGCCGTGCTGCTTTGCTCCCCATCTTTAGACCCTGACGAGTCCTCTTGTTTGCCGCCACCTGAGCTGGAGGTGGCGTACAATCGGTTTCCAGTCGCATACCCTGAAAATCGAAAGTCAAGTTCAAGGTCCGTGTTGCGTAAAAGTGCAGCAATATGGCTCGAAAAACTAAAATTAGCCTTCGAAAAGCGAGGGTCGCCCGAGGCCGGCACCTCTCACATTCGGCGATTCTGAACTCAAAAGTGAAGATAATTTAGAAAAAAATGTGCACCAATCACCTCTTTCACATTTCCGCAAGTTGAAAAGTCGAATGCACTCTTTGGTGCGGGCCAAGGCTCGCCCAAACTGAAAAATTTGACCCCCGACAACCATCACGTCTCCACCATTCTCAGCTGGCAAAAATTCGGCAAAGGCAACCAAGGTGGTGTTTTACAAAGGAGTTATTGTAAGTTGAGCAAAATACTACAAAATTTGTTGATTGATCATTTTCAATCCAATTAAAGGATTTATAAAAATAAATTTATTATTTATTAGTTTTTACAAATACTCAAAAATGCGTCATTAAAGTTATTAAAAGCATAGTTGAGAAAAACCTATTAGCTCCTCTATGCACCTCAGATAAAATAATTTGAAATACGAAGCGCGGGCTGAATAATTCACCTTCACCCATTGATTTTATATGTTGATTTTATACTTGACATTATAGAGAAAAAAACAAATTGAAAATTGATTTTATTTTTTATTTAATAGTAAATTAATAAATCAATGCTTGCACCCTTTAAATTTTCCGTTTTTAAAATTATTTTTATTGAATGTCAATTTAAAAATCACAAAACTTAAAATAATACTCCAATTTCCACTTTTTTTCATTAATTTTAAAATAACTCTTTACGTACAGTAAAACTTTTTACCGCTTTGTATACTTAAACAATTTTTGTCACTGATGATATTTGGGGTTAAAAAGTATAGAAATTGGTGTGTAATTTTTGTAATTAACAAATGATCATTCAATATAAAATTTTAGTAAAGATTTATAGTTATATTTCAAACAATATTTATTGATCAACACTTAATATTTTTTTTTCTTAAATTTGATTAGCTTCATAATGACGTAATTTTATAGGGCGATGGTACAATGATGTATATTAAATTGAATAAAATATTTATGTAAGGAATAGTTTTGTCAAACATTTATTTTCAGCACATATTATTTCATGTATTTTTAACCAGTCGTGGAACTTGTAGAAGATTTATTAAGACTCAGGGAGCCTTTTCTCTGGGTGCTGTAGAAAGAGTTGAAATCCATTCTGGAATCGAATTTTCAACGCATTTAGTCAGAAAAACAGTGGGATGCTATTTTAAATCCAAGATAATACTGTACCTCAAGAGGAGTCTAGCATGCGTTGTATCTCTCTCAAGAGAACCTACAAGGTCAAGGAATTTGAAAAGCAAGCTGTTGAATTTCTCGTTGTGATGTTCGACTTCTCCAGAGAAACTAGTCCAATTGTCCTCAAAATCAACTCTATGAAGCTCAGAACTCTGAAAATAAATATCGTTGTTACTAACAGAGATTTGGTTTTTGTGACACACAAAAAGTATAAGTAAAGAACTTTCTAAGGAAGAAAGAAGCCACAGGAAGAAGAATTGTGATTCCAGAAATACCTCGCTTGCGTCAAAAGATTCTGTGAGTTCTAACTCAGCCTCCACAAAGTAATTCCGAACGTGCTGATAGCAGCGTGTGTGAATAAAATTGCAAGAGTTTAGAATAAATGAGTGCGTCAGTGAAGACAAAGAGCAAAATTAAACAGTAAAAGTTCATTTTACCAAGATGAATTTGCAGAAGTCCATGATGCAGTCCAGCAGTTCTCGCAGGGGTTGCAGCAGTTCCAAAACGGTCAACATGCACTCTCGCTGGCACTGGTCAATGAAGTCCGTGTGATACGTCAGCACGTCATCCACGCTGTTGACTCTTTTCATTTTCTCCATGAAAATGTGCCAGTTGGGCTCGATTACTTCGCCAGTCATGTAATACTGCAGGCCGAGGACAAAGTTGAGCATCCTTTGACGAAGAGAGAAAGCAGGTCTGTAGAGAGGAGATTCCATGGGGGAGAATCGACGGGCCACTTTGTTCGAGTTCCAGACCCTGCAATTTTCACTTTTATGTAACTTTCATTTTCAAATTAATGTATTGATTTTTACTGGCAAAGAGATCTCTCCACATATTTGATGAAGAAAAGGTGCCTGAAAATCATTTGGTATCGAGAGTGGTCATGGCTGTTGATTACCAAAGACACGGGCCACTTCACATCAGCCGAAAAGGCAAAGCTTTCATATCCACTCAACTCCTTGTCCTCCAAATCGGAGCTGTCAATATCCTCCAGCGGAAAAGTGTCTAAAATTGAAGAATAATTTAACATATTGAATAAAGTAATCAATATTTAACAACCATTAGATATGCAAATAATTCTTCGAATTTGATCAGGCAAGGAACTAGTGATCAACGTTGTGTGCAAATCCTCCAAATACGCAGTTTCAACATTGGATGTGCGAAGAACAAGGCCGAACAAGAAATCCAATCGAGTTGGTTCCAGTTCCATGACAGGTTTGCGCAGAGTTTCGTCGCACAGGTCCATGCATTGCGAAATGAAATCTCCTTGCTCCAGAAGGAAGAACTTTTTCATCCACCTTGAAATAAAAATTTTAAATAATCAGACAAAAAATCAAAAAAATTACTTACTTCAGTCTGCCGATCAAATCGTAATCCCGGAGAAGGATTTCCAAGAGCATTTTGCTTGCGTACTGATACGCTTCTTCGATCACTTCCTCACACTTGCTGCCATGAAGGGTGTACACTGTGCGTGATTTCTGGGGTGAGTGGATTCGTTTTCCTGATAACAAAAAGAGGATCAAAATTGATACTTCGACAAAAGTGAGAGCAAAATGTACCACACTGCTGCATAACGTTCAAGTATTTTCCGGTCCTCAGAATTTTCTCGGCGTATTCCGAAATGAACAATGGCACTCGGTCTTTACGAATTGTGTATCTCTTCTCCCAGTAGCCATCACAGTCTTCTGTGCTCAAAGCGCCATCAGTCTCTACCTGATTGTCCTCAACCATGAACTGCCAAAATTTCACATTTTATAGTTTTTTTAAACTAATAAATTTCTTTTCTGCCTAAATAATAATTAAAATTTACCTCGTCAAATGGGTCGTTGATGACACCTTTTAGCAGCCACTCGTCCAGACTCTCCAAGTAAGGTTTGCTTGCTTTTTGTATGAGATTGAAACAAATTTCTTGGGCGTTTTTATCACCAGCAGTGCAGAGGGTAAGCTGGTGAAGCAGAGTCAATACTCGGCCTCCTCGAGCATCATTCTAAATAACTTTCGTCATGAAATAAAAATTAGAATAATGCAATCACTTACATTGTTCACTGTTTGGGCTGTGTGAGCCAATACTCTGAAGAGCTGCGACATGGATTCAGAGTTGAAAACCAGCTTTTGCAGACCAAGATTGCCAGAGCGGCGCTGATTTTCATTTTGAGCCACAAACCCCTAAAAGTTTTGAAATTGTACTATGGATATGAAAAATCGTAATAAAAGCAGAAACAAAAGAATACCAAGTATTCGATGATGTGTTCGTCCATTGCAGCTGCCAAGGCGTTGTTGACTCTGCCAAAACGAAACTCAGTTTTCTGCTCAATGAATCGAACCACCGACGAGTATAAACTTGCCAACTCCAGTACTTTCAGGGCAAGCTCTTTCAGAGATTTATCTGGATATAAATAAATTTGTGAGACTTTTAAGAAAATTGCCTGACCAATTGGCTGTACCCATTCCAACAGCAAATCTGAATTCACGTTTTGCATAAAGATTCTCTAGCGGCATCGCGACGATGTGTTGGCCATCAATTCCAGAGAGGCAATTTATCAAGTCGGACAGAATGGCTTGTTCCTGAGAGGCTACTGGTACTTTTGCTAGAAAGTTAATTTTAAAATTAGTTCCAGTATTGAAAATCTTGTAAAATCCACCTAGAGTAATTGGTGTGCCTCCCTTTTCCGAGCCACACGCAAAATCATTTGTCATGTATGGGTGAGTTTGGAACCAGTCGGGAAATGATGGCAGCTCGACCGTGATCCCATTCGATCTCTTTAGGGTTCCGTGACTTTCAATGGAGAGTTTGTTGTCATGGGAAGGTCGCTCAAACTCCTCAGTTATGGCTTTGAGTTTATTTTTAACCTTAAAAAGATTTTACACATTAAGCTTGACAACAAATTGTCAAAAAATTACTTGGGAGAGTCCTTCGGAGGACACATTGATGACTTGTTTGCCGTTGCCGTTCAAAGCCGCTTCTTCTTGTTGACAGAGTTTCAGCATTTTCTTGACTCGTTTGTCATCAGCTACACAAGAAAGAAGCTCTACGTAGGGCCCCAAAATGTCACAGCTGCAATGCATGTAAATCACGTTTAAATTATGCAAGCAATTAAATATAGAACCTACTTCTTTTCTTTGATCTCAAAGTACTTCTGTGAGAAAGCTTTCTGGTCTGAGCACTGCTCTCTCAGCTTGTTCAAGTGGTCCTGCTTGGCTGAACTTGACGCGAGTATTCGGTTACTGAGTTCGATGGCTTTGTTCAGCGCGTCTTCGCTCACTTGATCTGAGATTCTGGGAAATTAAAATAAAATTACAATTATTCGTGACTGTAAGAAGAAATTTGATAACATTGCATCATTCGTGTCTTGTTTTTTGTGTTTATAACAAAAATACAAACCCGAGAGATAACGCCAGTTCAGCAGAGAGCTGCAGATTCTTGAATTCAGCCATTCTCCAATTAATTAAATCTCCAATTAAGTCAGTCTATGGATGTGGCTGAATTTTTCTATTCTCTTTATGGTCGACAATTGCTAAAAGTAAAATAAAGTTCACAGGGTGTGCCTAAAAATGCTTGAGACTCGATATATATTATTGACATTTGACAGAACTTTGTTTTGGCGGCGGCGCAAGGCGGTAAAACCAAATAGGGGCGTGGCATGTGGGGTGTGCAGGAAGAAGCAAAAAAAAAGGCAAAGTTTCCTGGTGGAATTTCCTTCAAACGCCGCGAATTCCCTGCTCCGATTGGTCAAAATGTGTGACGTTTGGTCAAAACATTGCCCTTGACTTTAAATGCCTCCCGCATTCCACTTTTTAACGAAAAGGTACTAAAGAGGTCTTGAGGGGTTTTGCGTTGCAGTTCTGTTGTTGCAATTCAGAATCATATGCTTCATGTAAATAACAACAAGAAAAGCCCCATGAATCTTTCGACCTTTTTCTTCCCACAGGTGTAACATCTGCAAGGCTCAAGAGGTATAAAAACGGTTCTTTGTTATCTCAATTTTCCATTTTGGTCGGATGACATGTCCGTGATTTGCGTTTTCGATCAAGCCCTTGGCCCTTTCATTGAAACCTTGAAATACGCATTTGAATTTTTCTGCTCATTATATAAATTCTGTTTTTTACTATGGGCTCAATTTATACATATTATTTTGATGTTTGCCATTGTACATTGTATCTACACATTTTATGTTTTTTATCCTTATCTATTTATTTTCCTTTATTATTCCTTCCTTGATTTTTTATAAATAATGATCCGCAGAAAAAAAAATGGGTCGTAATCGTAAAACATTTTACTTCGCAGCTGTTCAATCCGTAACTTAATGAAATCTATTAAAAATGCTATCATTATAATTTTTGATTAATTTTTTGCTTACACTTTTTAAACATTTGTCTCTGTTCCTGATGTCAGATGGACATGTTATTTGATGCTTATCTCACTCACGAGTCCCTTCAGTGTGAACCAGATGACATTCCTTGCACCTCTGACCCTGTCTGGATCCTGGGAGAGAAATACGATGCCAACAAAGGTATAATTAGATTTTTAATAATTCTAAAAATTGTAATTTTCGAGTTTTACTGTACAAAAATTGCAAAAATTGAATAGGATTTTTATTACTTCTGATTTTTATTTTAGAACTGGCCGCCATAAGAAAAGATATAACGTCCCGACTGTGGTTCACGTACCGAAAAGGCTTCGTGCCCATCGGCGATTCAGGAATAACAACAGACAGAGGCTGGGGTTGCATGCTTCGTTGCGGACAAATGGTCTTGGGACAAGCACTCCTTTTTTTACACTTGGGTAAAATCTGTCAACATTAATTTTTAAAAACAGTCATTTTTTATATTTTGTAAATTAAAGGACGGGATTGGCGATGGGACCACGAGCAAAGGAACCCAGCCTACGTCTCAATCCTGAGCATGTTCGAAGACAACAAATCGGCCAACTACTCAATACACCAAATTGCCCTCATGGGAGCTTCTTCCGAGGGCAAAGATGTGGGCCAGTGGTTCGGCCCCAACACTGTCGCTCAAGTTATTAAGTAGAACGCTAATTCCTTATTGTTAATTTTTATTCGACTGAAATAATTTATTTATTTTAGAAAACTGTCGCCATATGATCATTGGAGCTCACTTGAAGTGCACATTGCTTTGGACAATACCCTGGTGATTGGGGAATTGAGTAATTTTCAGTTTAATTAGAAAATTTGCCATTTTGTTTTACTTAAAATTTGTGTTGCAGAGCGGCAATGCCGGAAACAAAATAAATGGAGCCCGCTTTTGCTTTTCCTGCCACTTCGCCTAGGCCTAAGTGAGATCAATCCTATTTATGCTGAGAGCATAAAAGTGAGTCTTAATAATAAATCCATCATTATTTTCATTAATCAATTCTAGAAATGCTTTTCCTTCCAACAATCGCTGGGCATAATTGGCGGAAAACCAAACCATGCGATGTACTTCATTGGATGCGTAGGTATGGGGATTGTTTTTGTACAATACGACGGACCGAATGAAGATGATAATTTTTACAGGAAATGACCTAATTTGCTTAGACCCACACAAAACCCAGCAAGCTGTGAGAGTAAATAAGGACTGTAGCAAAGAAGACGACATGTCTTTCCACTGCCAATATGCAACAAGGTCACCAATCATGGAGCTGGATCCTTCGATGGCAGTCGTAAATCTATTTAAAGTTAAATGGTGACCCACATTCTGATTTTATATTTTTGTAGTGTTTCTATTGCGCGAACGAGAGTGATTTGGACAAGTTATGTCAGTTGTTGCACGAGAATTTGGTGGTTAACGAGAAGCAGCCATTATTTGTGATTTGTACCGAGAGACCTGCGGAAGTCCAACTTAAGACCCTCGACGATCCAATGAAGTCTCCGACTGTGTCTGGTAATTGCTTCTTATCAAGTTTTTATGTATCCTGATTTTGTCAATTTAAAGGTACCGATGATGAGTCTGACGATGAATTTGAGATGCTGGGCTGAGGACTTTTAATTTATATTTCTATCTAAATTTTTATTTCTACTGATAATATTGAATAAATTATTTTTTACGTAATACTCAAGACAGTGTTTTAAATTAAAAGCCATTAATCCAATTAAGAAAGATTTTTAGCCGAGAGTGATGTAGAGGAACAAAAATTTTAAAACTATTTTAGGCTTATTTGGTGGTGCATAGGCTTACAACAAAAATTAGTTTTGAAATTTACAATTTGACATAAAAATTTATATTCATTTTTCAGTAACAGAACATTTTACATTTTAAGTACGTACATTTAAAAAGTAGCTTAAATCCAACAGAAACTCAAAGCATGTCGTTAACGTCTAAATACATCTGTTTTAAAAAATAATAAGAAATGTCATGTAGTCTTAACAGGGCACTGCAATCACAGAGCAGATAGTTCTAGTTCCGATTCCCGAGATTGATTTGGGCGCGGGCATTCTTCTCATTCCGAATCGTACGGCTCTTCGTCTTCCTCGCAAATATTCTCATCTTCATCAAATTCCACTACCTCTTCTTTAATTGCAACGCTAGATGATCTATCGTCACTGTTGTTGTGATTAGCTGCAGGGATGGTAATTTTTATTTAAGTTATTTTTTTTTTAATTCTCTTGTACCTGACTGCCCGTTGTAAGTAGACGTTTCCATCCTTAAGATGTAAGGAACTACACTATCAATCTGAACACTTCCAATCAGCCGAGCGAAGAAAATTTCCTCAAGAATTTGCGAGTGCAGCTTTTTCAGCGAGGCTGCTCTCAAGATAAGCTGGCTAAATCTCAGTTCTCCTGTGGCGGGGTCCTGAGATTTGAGCGATTCTTGAAATTCGCTTATTGCTTTCAACTGATATTGGGATATAAGATTTGCACTTTGGAATCCAGGGATATCTGCAACAAAATCGATGGGACAATTATGAATTTTAAACTGAAATGCATTAAAAATTATCTTACCTGGATTAAGTAGGGATATCACTTTTAAGTAGGCGTATTCTTTGTCAGTGACATTCAATTTCTGCATTGTGTTGACAAAGACGTGAAGTTTGCTAATATGGTCCGCAATCTGCAGAGGGTTATTAATCTTGTTAATAATATAGGTCTTAAAATTTAAATAATTTCCAACCTCTTTCACTTTTTGAGCCGAAAAACTATCCTGAACAACTGAACTCTGCAGATTCTGCACAATTGAGGAAAAGATGTCTGGCAATGCCAGAACACTTGAGCACTGAGCCAGTCCAAGGGCGAATAGCTCACCCCAGCAACTTTTCACAAGTTCTATTTGAGCCTCTTGACTGGAATAAAAATAAATTTTAAAATACTGCAGTATTTTTAAAAAGAATTCGATTACCTTTGAGACTGGAACACACGAATGTTCCGTGCCCAGTGCACAGACAAAAAGAGAAGCCTCGAAGCACTTTCACAACTGTAGTGCGAATTGAAGTACTGCGGCATCAAAGTTGGCGTTTGCAGATTGAAGAGAATGTGCTCGTCCGAAATCACTGGCGCCTCAGACTCAATTTGGTCCATGAACTCGGAATTAAGTGAAACCTCCAAGGAGTCATTTTGCCGTAAAGTCTGAATTAATATTTAAACATTAGGGCTGAAATTTTAATATTTAAGTTGTACCTTTGTCATATTTTCCAGCGCAAGCAATATAAGATCTGGGGCTGGTTGGCGCGACTCATTGTACTCCCCAGAGCTACTGATCGACGCCTCTTCGTCTCCACTGACAGCAGGAGAGTAGCCCTGATTGTTGCATTCGAACGCTTTAAAAATTACTTTTATTAGTTTTATTGATTCCTTTTTTTAACTGAGAATAAATACCAGACTTTCCTCTTCCCGAAACTCCTGCAAACAGTTGATTTACGAGACCCATATCAGAGAATCCCATTCCGCCTAGGCCGCGTACGTCAAGTCCTCCGAGGCCCCTTGAGTTTCCGTGGTGCTGCAAAATCGAACTGGACGCAGACGAACCACTGCCAGACTCGCGGGCGAGGGAGATCGGCTTTCTTTCGTGTTGGACAGCTAAAGAAAAAGTTATTAACGCTTGAAAAACTTTTGAATGGAAAATGCCTGCAATATGTAAATTAATTCTAGTTTACTCCCGTCCCATTTGACGTGTGCACTGCATCACTGTTCAACAATTTCATTACACAAAGACGAGAACAAAGAAAGAAAGAAAAAGCAATTAAAGTGAATTAAAGCATCTTAATGTCAAATTTTTCAAGAAATATGAAATAAATTAGTTATTTTATTGAACCAACTTTTATGAGCAATTTTTGCTAATTATTTTATCAATAATTAAAGTATGTATTAATTTCACAGCGTCAACAAATAAAAAAAAATTAAATTGATCTTGATTTACTTTGGTTGTTTCTAAATAAAAAAGAACTGAATCTTAGAAAATTTTAACGATCAAAGATTTTTTAGCTTGCATCATCAGACAATTGATATTACAAACAAAAATGCAAAATTTTGTGACATTTGAGGCACCATTGAACGAGTGAGTGATTGAGCAGTTATAAACAGTGAGCACGTCAATTTGGAAACCAGCCACCAAAATCGGGGTACGTAACGTGGAAAATGTGCATGTTACACAGAGTGTGTTAGCGCAGAAGTGACAGTAGAGTTTGATTATTCGGATTATTTACATAAAGCAGGTGTGAACAGCAAGAAGCAAATAAATTTTACACAAACCACCAGGCAAGTGTTTCAGATCCTTACAGTCGCTTCTCATCCCCATTGCAAGGCACTTTTGCAGTCGACAATATTGGCATCGGTTGCGATGGTGCTTGGTTACTTCGCAGTTTTTGCTGCCGCGGCACTGGTAGCCCAGCTGCTTGCGAATGGACCGTTTGAAAAAGCCCTTACAGCCTTCGCAGCTGATGGCTCCATAGTGGCGCCCTGGATTCATGATAATGAGACTTTAAGTAAAATTAAAAAGTCTTTACATCGGAAAGATTGCATTTGAAACTATTATCATTTTTACAATCTTTGATAGATTGGTTGATTTTTTTTTAACAATTTTTTTCATTTTCTTGAAAAGAAATAATAATAAAAAACGACAGGCTACCTGATGCCCGGTCTCCGCAAACCACACACACTTCGAGGGCCATGCACAAACTCCTCGACTTATCCCCAGCGGCCGGAGCCAGAAGCGGCAAAGGCGCCTCCACTTTGCTTCCATCCTCGCGAACCCTTTCGATAATTAAGCCAGAGTTGAGGTTGTGCAGCGACAGACTGCCGTCGTCAAAGTCCATTTTGACCATCGGTCGCGCAGTGTGTCTTGCCTAGGTGAAGGTCACGCGTCCACTACGTTGTCTTGTCAGATTTTTTGAGCTTTCCAGCGCCGGTCTGAAATTCGAAACGCGAATTAGAAAAGTTTTTAAAAGCATAAAATGTAAATCCTAAATTGATTCAAAACCATGCTTTTCTATATCGTGCACCTGCTTTTCAAAGGTGCATTTTTTTCACGAGTGCACCTTGCTGTCGGGTCAACTCTTTGAACCGAAATAATTGAGGCGAAAAAAACGCGATTGAGAACCTAAAACTGTCTGATTCATGGAAATTTTCGTTCTTTTCCTACCGTGCTATAATTGAAATCCATAGACGAGCAGCATCGCTTGAATTTTGAGATTTTTGTGCGGTCCCTCGCAGTGTGTTATTTGTTTATGAGTGGCATCTACTCCGATTCAGTCATTTAATGGCTGCCACACAGTTGCCGGCTTTTTGCCGACGTCTCCTGCCAGAATCGAGCATGCATGTTCACGGTCAACCGAACTTGTCACAAAGCGGCAACGTCGCACAATGCACGAATGCAGGTGCATAATCACGTAAAAAACAGATACAAAAAATGAGTGGGGTTTAATTTTTATTTTGTAAATTTCAAGAAAACGATCTAATATTATTTTTCTGAATTAAAATGAATGAAATTGGTTGTATTTATAGAGACTTTCCCTACGAAAATGCAAAATAAAAGTGACAAAAATTAAAGAGCACATCGGCCCCACCCCCTTAGGTAGAGTTTATAGAAGGAGAGACAATTTTGGTCCTTTCAGGGTGGATTATATTGTAGAAAATCAAATTAATAGCCAATAAATCTTTACTTAAATTAATAAATTTGATTTAAATAAGCTAAATGGACATTATTTTTACCTCAAACCCAAACAAAATTAGTAACCGTATTCTGTGTGACAAACCTCCTTTGTCAACACCCTATTTCCTCCTAGGGGCTGCAGACGAAAACAAACAAAACAGAAGACAAAGCCGACTGTTTTTCTCTTTTCCCAATAGAAATTTGAGTCTTTTATGCAAAATGTTCAAAAAGTAATATATCATTAGATCAGTGAAACAATTTTGATTACTTGCTGAGCAACAGGAACCTACATGTTTGTACAATTTTCGCAGATTTGAAGAAAAAGAGAGCGTGTCTGGGGTGCAGCAGCTGAAATCGTCCGTTCAAAAAGCCATCAGGGCGAAAATACAAGAGCAGTATCCTTCACTTGTAGATGGAAATTATATGGACAATATTCTGCCAAAGAAAGATGCCTTTCGAATTGTCAAATGGTAACGGTAGAAATTAATTAAATTATATAAATTACGCAAAATTTCTACACAGCCACGATCACATTGAAATAATTGTGGCATCGTCAGGAGAACTTCTGTTTTTCCGTCACAGAGAAGGACCCTGGGTGCCAACATTAAAGCTTTTGCACAAATGTAAGGGCTAATTTAATACATAATCATGTTGATATGAATTTTGCATTGTATTTCTTAGATCCTTTTTGTTTGCCGTGGCAACAAGTTGACAAAGGCGCCATCAGATTTGTCCTGAGTGGTGCCAACATCATGTGTCCTGGTTTGACTTCTCCGGGAGCGAAAATGACCTCTGCTGATAAAGGAACTGTGGTCGTATCCTTTCAAATTTATTGCAATTTGAAGCTATAGTTTAATGATCAAAATTAATAAGTGTGCGATGCAATTATTTAAGATTCCAATTTTCCTTAAGTATCAAATCCAGGCAATTATGGCTGAAGGAAAGCAACACGCACTTGCAGTCGGAATAACGTCTCTCTCCACACAAGAAATGTATGATTAACAATTTGGCTAATTAAAGATTTTGTATTTAATTTTATTACTTTGTTCTTTTCAGAGCTAGCGTCAACAAAGGAATTGGCGTGGAAAATTATCACTACCTTAATGATGGGCTGTGGCAGATGAAACCGGTGAAGTAACTTTGTATTTTTAACACTGTCTAAATAAATCTGGATTTACTCGAATTTAAAGTTTTTAAATTTGCTTGACATATATAGGAGAAGCGAGAAAAAAATTAAAAATGCAAGATCCTTTTATTCGGTGTGTAAAATTAATTCACTTTTAGTTTATTAAGAATTAAGTTTTTGACGTGGAGAGCCAAAATTAATGATTGCTCTTTTCTCTCTCATTGACGAACCAACAATAACAATCAGTTTCCAAAGTTTTCAACACAACTTGAAATAAAACCATCGAGTATTAAGTTCAGATGTCGCACATACAACAAAATGTCGAGCAACAAGTTCTGAGTTTATGTCCTAGGGATGCATAGCAAAATGCGAGTAATACTGGCACAATTATCATACTTCTTATTCGACAAACTGTCTTTTACATTTATTACACATTTATAAATAGATATCTTAAGGTTGTCCATTCTTATTTTACAAATTTGGCTTCAACAGCATTTCATTTTGATATATTAGCATGTGATGGTCAGGGTTTTGGGACATTAAAAAAAGTGGCTACAAAATTGTGTGGTAAAATCATGTACACTGTAGGAAAATTAAAACAAAACCATAAAAACTATGTTTCGTAAATCACATTTTTAAAATTTTAAGCAGTTTTTAAGAGTTTGACTGACAAAAATAAGCAAAATAGAAAAAAATAATACAGAGTCTTTTGTCTTTTGCATGATTTAAAAGCCGAGTCACACATCAATATTTTGCTGGGTGATCACATTCTTATCTTACTTTTACCCTTTTACACATTCGAAAGTTCAACACTTTGGCAAAAAGAATTTGCATCCATCTCATTAGCGGGTGAAAATTCTTCCTAAAGCATGAATTTAGATCTCTAGCTTGTTAAATGATTATTATTCATTTCATAATTGATCTTCATAAAAAAAATTTGTGAAAATCATTTTAATAAAAGTTATTTTGCCATGTGATGGTCGCAAATTTTTCTCCAAATGCATTAGAACTTTCCGGGTTAACACATTTATCTTCTTTTTTTTAAGAATGCATAGCCTACACAACATTTTTGGTATCTTATGGGCAACATAGAGAGACACGAAAACAATTGTAGCTCATTACGAAGGCGCCGAGTACCAAGGGGAATGATAGTGCGTCGATTTGCCTCCGTAGGACAGGGGCGGACTGGCTGACTTGTTGGGCGAAAGGGGGCCCATGAGTGTGTTGCCGTTGTTGTGCGCCAGGCTGGCTGCTGCTGCCGCCGCGGCCGCGGCGGGATGGTAAATGTGAAAACTGGCTGCTGCAAGTTGGTGGTGGTACAGTTGCGTCTGAAATCATTTTCGTTGTAATTTTTCCATCCATATTATAAATAATTTTTAAAAATGTTAATCAATTATTTTTAGAAAAAATATTAAATTACATTCAATTGTTGAAAATTATATTTGAAACGGAATTGGTGGTGCTGTTTTGTCCAATAATTCCTTTCTTTTCAAATAAATTGTTTTCACCAAGAATTTAAACAATTTGATGTGACAATGTGGACAACTAAATAATAAATCTGAAGCACTTTGCTTAGTTATTTTACATAATTTTCAATAGTACAAAATTTAATAAATTACCTGATGTCGTGCTTCCATGTAATGTTCCATACTTGGAGTGACTGTGTGAGCCATATTTGCCTGGGGTTTCAACGGCAAATTCTGAAAAAGTTGAATTAATTTTCCAAGAAAAAAATTATATTTTGCTAATTTTACCTGAGCTTGGCTCAAATATTGCTGCGTCCTGATCGCAGCAGCCATAGCCTCGGCGGTCAACGACCCTCCGGCACCGTCCCTTGGTGACACAGACGAGGGTGGTGTGATGGCGGATTGGTGAAAATCTCCACCCGCACCAAAACCTAAAATTACCACAATATTAAAAAAAAAAAATCATTTTTTGCATTTTTTTTTAAATCAATAATTTTTACCTCCTGTCGCGTAAGACGAGCCGTTGAAAGAGGATGCGTCGTATTCCGAGGGTGGTGTGGCTAGGGTGGAGTCTGTGTAGAATCCTCCAGGGGTTTGTTGACCCCTCGGCGGTTGAATGTTTGACCTGATGACTGATTCTCTACTGGCATACAACTGGCGCAGCAGGGCTGTCGCAGGCAAAACTGACCCTCCGGAATTGCTGCTACCTGCGGCAGCTACACAAAATTTAAACAAATTTCATGATTATTTATTTAATTGAAGGAAAATTAACATACAAGGGTAATGCAGGCTGGGTGGCCGTTGCTTCAGGAGGGCGTCAGTACTGAAATCCGTGTTGGCCGAAGTTGGCTGGCCCTCGGGAAGTAGTTTGGTCATGGCGTGCTCGAGCTGCTTGACTGGTGCTGCTCCGTCGAAACCGGCCACACTTGTAACTTGACTTCCATCTGCAATTGATGATAAGTTTGAACTTTTAAATAACATTTTTTTGATTGATTTGACAAAGATATATTAAATTTTGTTCAATTTGAAATTGAATTATCACATTTTTCTTTGTAAAAATTTCTGTTTTTACATAAAAAATCTTATGTACCAGTATCGAGCTTGGACCAAACAGGTGGCTGCTGCTGACTCGGCTGTGATTGTCGACTCCTGCCTCTTCCTCTCTTGGACGGTCTACCCCTTTTGCTAGGTGTGGGACCATCAGGGATAACCTCTTCAACATCCTCCTCAAAATCAGATCCGCAATCGTCCTCACTCTGAATTAAAATTTTTAAATTATTAATTTTAGCATTTAATTTTTATTATATTATTTTTACCGCTTCTTCAGAAGAACTTGCTTCGACTCCATTCTGCCTCCCGTTTATTGCAGTCCTCTTTGGTCTACCACGTGGTTTTCCACCACCTCTGTGAGATCTAGAGCTCTGCAAATAGATATTTTTAGTGAAGATCCATTAACTTTTGCTTTTAAACCTACCAAATTGCCCCTATCAGTGGCCCCACCGTCTCCCCTGGACCCTTGATCGGGCCCATTAATTCCTCGGTCCTCCGTTGACTGCCGAATGGAGCCCTCAGGGTGGCCGCTTCTATGGCTTGCTTCTCGAGATCTGCCATCGGACGGGTCCGCGTCTGGAGATCCATTTTCAGGGTCCTGGTTGTTGCCCATTTCCCTTTTCACGCTCGCGCCCCTGCTCTCCTCCAACTGGCAGCAGTCCATCACAACGTGGCTCAGTTCGCGTCCACTGCGCAAATTTTTAATTTTAGATCCGTTCAGATTTTTCGTATTTTAGTATTTCTTACCTGATAACGTAATTTACGCAAATAATGTTTTGCTCGTCGTTGTTCTTGCTGTTGCAAACGACCGTGGCGCACGTTTGGAGCCAAGTGTAGCCACCAGACTTGTTCATTAGCCTGAAGTACTGGCTCATTGCCTGACCTTTGTTGATTACTGCAACATTTTATTGCACATTTTTCTTGAGACTTCTCACTGCAGTAATGTAATAAGTAAATAAAGAACCAGAAAATAAAAGGAAGCTTAAATTTAAATTTTTTATCACGTGAAAAACTTCATTTAATTTAATCTTTTAAATCAATGAGTTGCAAAACGCAAGGTTTAGAATTTACGTTTCCAAACCGCCTTATTTTTGAAGAAATGCAACCTGCGCAACACGCTTGTCAAGATGTTGCCTATGTTCGTAGCTTTATGTTATTAGTTTGCTATTTTTTTGACAATTAAGCGTGTGGCAAGCAGGTTGAACTTCTTAGTTAACTAAAAGTGATTTTGGTAATGAGTTTAAAAGAGGCAAATAATTTGAATAATTAAATTGTTACAAAAGGTTAAAATTCTAGTTTAGGAAACGGTTCAAATTAATCAAGTTGATCAAAAGCATTACATTAATTTACTAAAAGGTACTTCTTGAGGATACAGTTAAAAAATAATGTCATTCTCAACTTTAACCACAGAATTTATGAAATGCGTAAACTATATATTTGGGCAATTCACCCCAAGAGACTCTTTTGTCGGTGTATAAGTTTTCCATATGCACGTACTTTGGCCTCCAGGGACAACGTAAAGGTATAAATAAGAGTTCAAAAGGCTTGCTTTTTCTTCGAAATCTCTCCTGCTCAAAATGAAAAATTGCCAGTGTTACCAAAATATATTATTGAAAAAATAAATTATTTCCTCATTTGCAAGATAAAAACATTTTGAGTAAAATTGAAAGCACATTTTAGCAGGATTAATTCTAGTTGCGTGCTTTTTGTGCATAAGGAGGAAAACCATAGAGCAGAACGCGGTAGAGGGAGAGCGGATCGAGAAAAAGAGAGACCCGGGTGCGGGGGAGTTGGCGGAAGAGCTGTTTAGAAATGCAGCGCACAACCTCGTGCACCAGCCAGCCAAGAGCGCAGAGACGTGGCTAACATTTCAAAACACTTCCAGCCTCGCTGCCATAATTTGACGTAAAAAATAAAAAAGCAGCGCGCAGTTGGGAAAATTTTTAGGAGTGTGGAGTTCATAACGTACAAAAAAAGAATAGCAGGGAAATCCAACGTCGAGAAAAAAAATATTTCAACTCTAAATTATGACCCTATTGTTCTATTTATTCGAAATAATTTTGTTTTGCCACAACTGCTATTAAAATAATAAAATTTAAAAAATTTCTCAGATTTAAATTCCAAATAGTAAAATAGTGACTACTCACGATCAACATGGCATTTCCTAAGTTTATGAGCATCTTCGCCATGACAAAGTGTGTACAAATTGCGACCAGTCAGTTCTTCACTCGTGTAGTCTAAAATCTCAGAAACCCTTCAAACACAAATTTTAATTTTAACTAAAGCCCCATCACTAACTAAAATTACTTACTTTGGCTCACAATGTGCGATCCTGAAGTCGAAATTGATTCTGGTGACGAACATGTCGGCTTCAAGTCTGATTTCGTGCACGCTCGGAGGCGGCAATGCGATGGCCAAAGCTACCATGCCTAGGATGGTCTGCGGCGGAGGCGGCACGGCGTTCTTTCGGAGGTGGGTCATGTTGTACTGCCCCCGAAGACGGCACAAAACCAAAACCACCTGCACGAGAAAATCACAAAAGCCGGATAAGATATAAAATTGTTGATATTGAATTATAAATAAATTAATGATTTATTATTTGTAAAAATTGTTACGAAAAAATTGACAGTAAGAAAAAAAATTTTAATCAAAGACCAAGACGAAGTGTCTTGTCAGCCTGTGCCATTTTTTGAGTTTGAGTTCAAATCTTATAACTATTTTGGTGTTTAATTTTTTTTCTTTTTACTTTTTACTTAAATTATCATAAATTTGACAGTTGGACAAATTGAAGCATTTGATTTAATTGAAATAAGGAAATAAAGTAAACAAACTTACCCTATATCCTGATGACTTGAAGTGACAGCCTCTTTTTGTCAGAGTGGATTTCATTCTGATGCAGAACGCCCTTTCCAGACCCTTGTATCCATTATTGCTGTTGATGCTCATTAAGGTTGTTACTTTAAATTAAAAAAATTTAAATTAATACCAAGATAAAAATTCAAGTTATTGAGAAAAAAATATAAAATATGAATCTAGTTTTTTATTTATTTTATAAATCAAATCTCTGTTGATGCCTGTTATGATAAGATTTAACTATTAACGGCATCGTTAGCTACTTAAGTGCGGAGAGCTTTTTTTTTTATTCTCTTGAAAGCGCATAATTATATTCAATCATTTCTCGGTCACAAACAACACACACAATGCGGTGGCGGTTTGACAGGAGAATTTCAATTGCATTAAATTTATTCCATGTGCAGAAAGACGGGCTGTTAAAAAAAAGCAGTGCGCCGCGCCAGTTGCACGCCAATGACTTTGACAAAAATATCAATTTCACTGTCTAATGCATTCGGAATAAAAAATGCTTTCAAGACACTTTCGTCAACGGAGAGAGGGATAACTTTTTTTCCCTCAAGGGCCAATCTGCACAGTCATGCCCACTACTTTAATGAATTGACTTCGGCTTGAATGAAATCGACCGGCAAAGTAAAAAATCTTCTTCTTTGGGAGAGAAAATCGCAGCGTTTTTGTTAAAAAAAAAATCAATGCAGTCAATGAATGGGACTGCGGGCGGATCTGACGGTGCGGCTACTTTAAATCTCACCATCAGGGTTCAGGGTACCTGTGCTGCCGTCATCGCCCCCGCTTCCGGCACTGCCGCCGGGGGAGGCCATTCCTGACGAGGCGCTGCCCTGCTGCGAAGCCAGGCCCAGACCCAACTGTTCCGCCAGTTCTGAATGATCTTGGTGGTGAATGTAGTCGAAAACTGAACTTCCGGTCATCTCCACCTAAAGAACAAAAGAAAAAAAATTGAAGTTAATTTGAAAATCATAATGTTTCAATTTAAAATTAAAAACACACGTGGTAAGGAAATCACAATAAAATTGAAAAAGGAAATTTTGCTTTTCCCCCTTTTTCCATTTTGTTTTAAAAACCATTCAAGATTTAAAACTAAAATCGTCTGTAAAAATTGCAACTTTATATACGTTCCAGTGGAAATCTGAAGTTTTCGACGGTTTGAAATAAATAAATGTTTATAATTATTGTTGTTTATTGGTCTAACATTGTTACATCACATTGCTAACATACATTTGTTGAAAACAATTATTCGGAAAGATATGATGGATATGGCATGAAATTTCTTTCTATACATTTATTATCGCTCTTCTTAATAAAATAAATAAAAATTTTCATTTAATAGGGGACAAAAACCAAATCACATTTGCTGTTCAGATTTTATAAATACAAAGAATTCAAAATAATAATTTAAAAATTATTCATTTTGATTAGTTACGGTGAATAGTTAAACTTTTTTCGCTAATTAAAGTATGAAATGTGTTTAAAATAAAGATTTTGAATTAAATAAAAATATTAAAAAATGCTATTTTAATACTGAATAACATCAAATTATGAAAAAATGTTTAAAAGCAGATCATTATTGGGTATTATTTATTTTAATATTAACATAATTTTAATATTATTGTTGCAATTTTTCTTTTTCCATTAATATGGTGAAAAATGTTAATAAGTAGAAAGACTCTAAAATCCCCCATTTCAATACAGTCTCATTTGCATACAAAAGTGAATAACAAAACAATAAGTGCGCCAGCGCCCGTCAATCAGTTAATGGAATGAGCAAACAATTCTGCATATAATTGTGTGTAACTTGAAACTCATACTCCTTAACAAAACGAGCAAGCAGCTTTGGGGGAAACGCGAGAGTCGACAGAAGAGAATGGGAATCATTTTAAATCAGACCCTCTCGCGCTGCTGCTAATTGGCGCGCGTGATTGAATTATGCAAATCCGCGCGTATGGCGCTTTGAAAACTGGTTTTCGTGCACTGCCGAGAGTTTCAAATTGGAATGGATTGAACGCAGCGCAAAGCCGCCACAATTGCGTGCCTTTTGTATTTATTTGTCTTCATTACAGTATTGGATTTAGATTGGACAAGGAAAAAAATAAATAAAGAAAAGAAAAGTCAGCAGGATTTATTTAGAAAGTGCAGGACGTCTCACTTTGATCACAAAGGAAGCCGACACGTTTGATTTGAATAATGAAACGAGACTAATAAACTAATTAGGCAGCAATTAAAAGGATGAAAAATCGTATTGATGACTCAATTTCTTCGATGAAATTTTTAATAATTAAAACTTCCGGAAGATCAAAGAATTCTATATAAATTGATACATGATACAAAAAATATTAAGTTTATTTACAAAAGGGGGATTTCTACATAAAATTGTGCGACTTTAAAAGTGGCAAAAATAAAAATATCAAAAACTGCAAGCAGACAGCGCGTGTCAATAATGAATAAAATAATTATAATAGATTTATAAAATTTTTACTGTGCTACTATTTGAAAAACAGGCTGATTTTAAGCTCTATTTTAATTATAAAAATAATTATTCAAACTTAATCAACAGCAATTTTCAGTAAATTATACTCTCAGGAGAGCTGAAAATGCAAGATAAAAGTAAAAAAATCTTGTATTTTTGTTTATCATTTTTTTACTATCTGGAATCAAACGTTATTCAAATCAAATTGTTTATCTTTCATGATTTCACCGTCTCAAAGGGTTAAAAAATTAAGCACGTGTCCCAGTTGTCAAATCCAGTTCAATTGAGACGTGGGCTGCGTGAGCTTTTTTTTCCAGTCGTGCTTTTTGTCCCGGTGGCGCGATGGAAGCCGACGAGGCTGTTGGTGTGTTTCTATGACTACCCAGCCGCAGCTAGAGCCCCTGCAAAATAATCGCGCATTCTGACCGTGTGCCGCGCTGTGCAAATCCCCATTCGGGTCACGTTTGTGTGCTCGTCCCGCACCTCCGCCGCTTTTCCGTACACGACCGGAGCCAGCAGCAGCCGCCACTGCGCACACAGCCACTGTTTTGACAGCCTACAAAGGACCAACTAATAGCACTGACTCGGCACCAGCCTTCCCCACTTTCCCTTCAACACACAGCAGCCCCAATCTAATTGCGAGATACTGACAAAAATTTTGTATTAAATATTTTCCCCCCAACTGTATTAATTATACAACTTTATTCAGTTTTCCACAAAAGATGAAAAAATCTGTATTAAATAAATTTTTTTAAAGAAGGACACAATTTAAAATAAGAAATTTTAAAAATTTTATGTGCTTCCCTATTTTAGAATCAAGTTTCAAAATTTATTTGGCAAAAATCCGCGTTTTCTTTAATTATCAAGCACAAAAAAGGCGACTTTTTGGTATATGAATTCTAGCTGAAAAAGTTCTAGGATGAGTCGATTTTCAGGCAAAAAGAGTCTAAAAATTAAATTTTTTTCGTCTTGTTTCTAATAATTCTGCAGTAAATTCTATGGAAGTAAAATAAAATTAAAATATTATTGATATAAATGTAAAATTTTTGATTTCACTGATGGACGAAAGACATAAAAAAAGTCTGAAATATAATAAAATTTCAAAATAGTTCCAAGATCAGAGATCAAAATAATCTCACGCCCGCCTAATTCTTTTAAAATTCTAAAAAAAAGGATATAAAGTTTTAAATATTGCATCAAAATGACCCATCAGAATGAATTTTGAATTTAAAAAAAAACTTTAACTAATAATTCAGTGGAAAAAATGATGTATTTAAAGAAACGCCAACTAACCTGTGATAATCCTAAGTAAATTGAAACAGTCTCTGAAACGTAGAGAAATCTCCCGTCAGCTCCTAGCGTGAAAGCAAAGCCGTCCAATGACTGAAACATCAACAAAACACCGATATAATATTTATTTCCATTTAAAATTATTTCCTCAAATTTCGTACCTGCAAAATATGTGTTCCCTGGTGCTGCTCGAAAATGTCCAGGGCCAACCCAGATGCTGCCCGCGGCCTGGAGACTGCAACAGAAAAAAAACGTACAATATAAAAAAAAAAATGTCCACGTCTTTTTGAGTTATTAAATGGCCCTTGTTTGTGTGCAGCACGTCCCATCTGTTGGGGACCATAAATTGTGGCAGCGGCAAATCGCAACAACAGCTTGAAGATGACACCGAGAAAGCCGCTCTTTTTCAATCCGCCACCTTTTTATCGCGCGCAGGGGTCACCCTAATCCTGCCTGGCAAACCCAATCTGATCCATAATAGCTGAATCACGACGCAAAATGCGATATCAGAAGGAAAAAGAAATAAATGAAAAGGAAAACTGGTCAAAAATGCAATTCCGTATTGAGGAGGGAATCGGAGCTGGATTAATTTTTTTGCATACAACTTGTAGAATGGAAGAGTGATGAAAGGGGCTTTTAGTTATTATTTCATTATTTTTTAAGTATGAAAAGTAAGATAATTTTTACAAAAAAGTTTTTATAGTTTAGTAGAAAAGAGCGTTTGCATTCTTATGATTCTTAAAAGTTAAAAGGCGAATAAAAATTAAAATTTTATAACTCTGTCTAGCTCCAACGAACTCAACAAATCTTCACAAAAAAGCTCTGAATCATCAATTAGATTAGATTCTTGCCGTGTGTAATTGACGTTTATTTCAAGCTTGTCTAATAGGCTAAAAGTGAGACGAGAAAAACGAGCTTTGTCCTTGTGTTTAATTGCTTTTATAAAAAAAATACGGTTCTATAAGTTTCAGTCACGATCTCTGATCGTAATTCATGCTCAAGAAATATAAAACAGCTAAAATTGATAATCCCTCGGTAATGTTATAGTACGCGCGACGTGTTTTTTCATAAGTTGGCAGCACTTATGCTCCCATGTAAAAGTATCACGTCGCGCGTTCGATAGTGGTTTTACGTCGCGCATACAATAATGGTTTTACGTCGCACGTACAATACTGGTGGCGGTGTAATTTTTAAGGAAACCGATTTTATTTCCCGATAACCACGGAAACCTCTATTGCACGCGCGACGCAATACTTTTTTTACAATCTTAATTAAGGGGACTGCTAGGAAGAATAGGGGCCCTTGGGATGGGTTCAGAATGGGGCAAGACGACCTCTGGAGGGCCGTGCGCACCCTTATAGCAGGCGCGACGTATCACTATGGGACGCGCGACGGTCGAAAAGCGAACTCCGGAGGGCGCTTTTCACCATCGTCAGAGGCGCGACGCATGGTTATAGGACGCGCGACGTATGCTTATAGTACGCGCGACGCATGCTTATAGTACGCGCGACGCACGATTATAGTACGCGCGACGCATGCTTATAGTACGCGCGACGCACGATTATAGTACGCGCGACGCATGCTTATAGTACGCGCGACGCATGCTTATAGTACGCGCGACGCACGATTATAGGAGGCGCGACACGCGCGGAAAATTAATTGAAAGGTGTTGCACGCGGCCGGAGTTGTGGGCGCCCCACGAACCGGCAACTCGGAGGTGGGCAACCCCCAAGATTAATTTTTGCAGAAGCCGCGAGCGAGGGGTGGAGGCGCAGCGAGGTCGAGGACGTGGGGAAGGCCGTGCGGAGGGCGAGGACAAAAGGGCGGCTGTGTTCATGAGGGGGCTCCGCAGGAGCCCCCTCACGAACAAAAGGTGTTGTCTGCAAAGGGAGTTGTGGGCACCACACTTTTTGCTTTCTAAGCCCTTTTTGCAGACAATTCCTTTTGTAAGCAACTCCGTTGTGGGTTTGCGAGCTTCGGGCTGGAGGCGCGCTCGCCCGAGAACGTGGTGAAGGCCGGCTCCGGGCGGGACAAAAGGGCGGGGTTCGTGAGGGGGCTCCTGCGGAGCCCCCTCATGAACACAGCCGCCCTTTTGTCCTCGCCCTCCGCACGGCCTTCCCCACGTCCTCGACCTCGCTGCGCCTCCACCCCTCGCTCGCGGCTTCTGCAAAAATTAATCTTGGGGGTTGCCCACCTCCGAGTTGCCGGTTCGTGGGGCGCCCACAACTCCGGCCGCGTGCAACACCTTTCAATTAATTTTCCGCGCGTGTCGCGCCTCCTATAATCGTGCGTCGCGCGTACTATAAGCATGCGTCGCGCGTACTATAAGCATGCGTCGCGCGTACTATAACCGTGCGTCGCGCGTACTATAAGCATACGTCGCGCGTCCTATAACCATGCGTCGCGCCTCTGACGATGGTGAAAAGCGCCCTCCGGAGTTCGCTTTTCGACCGTCGCGCGTCCCATAGTGATACGTCGCGCCTGCTATAAGGGTGCGCACGGCCCTCCAGAGGTCGTCTTGCCCCATTCTGAACCCATCCCAAGGGCCCCCATTCTTCCTAGCAGTCCCCTTAATTAAGATTGTAGGAAAAGAAACATGTTGTGGAGGTATCGATGGAATAATCGGTTTTCTTAAAAATTTTACCGCCACCAGTATTGAGCGCGCGACGTAAAACCATTATTGTATGCGCGACGTAAAACCACTATTAAACGCGCGACGTAATGCAAGTGATGCCAACTGAAATCAGGGATTTTGGGAAACACGTCGCGCGTACTATAACATTACCAATCCCTCAAAATAAATTGTCTATTATTTGATCATTTTCATAGTTTTTAATGTGCACAACTTTTATTCTAATTAATTTCTCTCGTTTTAAAATTCAATGGATTTCATAATAAAACGAGAAAATATTTCATGCACTCTGGAAATGTTTATGTTGAATGATTGACTGCTACAATGTATATTTAGTTTACTTTGTGGAGAGAATCCACGGAAAATAAATTCCTCGGCCAGGCTCACAATAGGTCGCTAATTGCATCTCTCACTCGGTGCAGAGACAGATAATTCACTTAGACGACGCGAGTGGAATGCCAAATCAAGGCTTGTGCTCTGGAAATGCGGGGAAATTAAAATTTCAAAGCAACACATGGCCGCCGCCTCCCCCTGCGGCCACGATTAATGCAAATTTGATATTTTCCTATTCGGCATTCAAATTGTAATCAAAGTGGTTCTAAAACTGAGAGCGAGAGGAATGAAATATAAAATCTGTCCCCTATTCTACGGCATTTCACCAAGCTTCGTCAATTTTCACTTTTTTACTTCAAAATTTTCATATCCACAAAGCACATGCAAATAAATTAGATTGAGCAATATAAAAAAGGCCGGATAAAATGCTGATCAATTCAAGACTTCATTTTACCATTAAAATAGGTAAAAATTTAGTTTTCATGACAATAAGCGAATGAGATTTGAATTTTTCACGGTACAATATCCCCACAAAAGTGATAATTCAATGCATCTCATTAAAATTTGTACAACTTCTGCAGAAAAAATTAACGATATTGTTTTGCTTCATTTTAAAAACAACCAAATTTTATTTGAAGAAGTTGACACTCGGGGAGATGATCATGGAAATGAAGCGATAGGGCTTTTCCTCGTTGCAGAAAATTGTTTTTATTCAAAAACAAAAACAAAGAGCCATTTGTTTTTGAATAAAAACAATTTTCTGCAACGAGGAAAAGCCCGATCGCTTCATTTCCAACCAAATTTTAACCAAGAGTTAAATAAATTGTTTAGATTATATTTAATTTCCTTGAATTTTACAGAGTATAATTAAAATATTATGTTTTGTTATGTAATAAACTACTACAAGATGAATTTCGGTTAATTTTCCCAAATGAAAACGACTTGTCCACTTTCACAGACTGATTCTCCCTTCATCGGCTATTCCTGCAGCTATTTCCGACTTCCAGTTCGAGCTTTAGAGGGGTTTGATGAAAAGGGGATTACTCGGCAGGAGAGCTAACTCTTTTTCATTAACCCGAACCCTCGCGTTTTTCTATGTTTTTGCACCCACGTTCCCTTTCTTTCCCGTTCTTGAAAGAAAGCGGAAGATATTTATCCCTTTGCTTTTTCCACCAGCACCTCTTCTATTGACGCTCGTTAGCCGCCTTTCATCAGCAGATTTATATATTATAGAATCTTCTTATTCCACTTCAATGTGTTATATTTCTCATAAAACCTGGTAATTCCCAACTCAATGCTGATTCCAGTTTTACTTCAAAAATTTAAATTTTATATTATGCAAATAATATAAATTATATATTTTTAATTCTTATGAATTCCATTAATTGCTAAATTGACTCAACAATCATGTTTTCAAATATATTTCATTTCTTTGTTAAATTTACAAAAAAAATTAAATTTAAATAAAAAAAGTTGTTAAATAAAATTTTATTAAATTATTGTAAAAAACACTAATAAATTTACAGTTAAAAAAAATAATAAATTTAATTTAATTTTTATTTTTCTTACACAAAATAAAATAAGATTCATCTGGCCAGAAAAAAATCTCTTTTGGCTCAGCAAGAACTTACTATGAAATTTCGGAATATTATTTTTGCAAGACTGCCGTGTCTGATTAGGGCTGCCAGACTGCTCGATGGTCAATGGTAATCCAATAAGCGCTGAATTTGACCATTGGCCGGCGGACTCGGCGCTGCAGTGTCAATAATAAACAGAAAGAAAGTCCGCCTGTCAGTTCATCATCGCCTCTCTCTTTACGTACGCAGCTCCAGGCGACCGGGGGTAAATATTTAAGGGGTGGACGTGGCAGATCACTTTGGGGCCGCACGTCCACACTAATATTTCCTTTTGCAAATAAGTTCGCTTCCACCCGCCCATCTCAAATATAATAAATAGCTTTTGGCACCGCAGAAAAAAAAGAAGAAGAGACCGTTTCTCGCCCAGAGGCTTTTTCAAATTGAATGCGAGGTATTTCAAGAGGATATCATGATATTTCCTGGTGGTTGATAAAAAAAATATATATGAAGTTTTACCAAAGACGTAAAATTTACTAAAAAAATAATTATTCTCATATTATATTATGATTATTATTAATGCAGAATCCCCTCAAAAGATTAAAAAAAATTGCATGATTTTTAATTTTGATTTTAGAATATAAGAAACAAATGATTTTACAAGGAATTAAGGTTTTCCAGATTTAGAAATCCTTATTTTATTTAAATTATAAATTAATTTATTAGGTTCTGATTAAAATTTCTTTCAAAAGATTGCATCCTTCAAAATTATGTATACTTAATTAAACCGCTTGCAATTCAAGCAATTTTAAATTGGATTCGATGAAAATGTAAATTTGAAAAAAATCTGAACTGACCTTTTTGAGGTTTTCCTCCTGGCGCCGGCCACGGTGGATATCCGTGCTCGGAAAAGTCTCTGAGCTTTAAGTATGAGATTGTGAGTCTGATTATGGACGCCTTGTCGAGTTGTGAAGTGATCGCCGCCGGAAGTGGAAGCATTTTGGCCAGCTCGTAAAACTCGTAGTTTTCCTTGCCGCGCCGAGATCGGGCTGCATCGCGTGACTTTTCTTTCCGCAGCTCCAAAATACTGCAAACAGAAAATCAGAATTTTGGTTAGAAATGGATGAGCTGTTGAGATCGCAACTGAAGACAAAGCAAAAGGAGCGCATTGGTGCAATAATAAAAATAACAAAACAATTGAGAAACAATAAAAAAATTTGAGGAATATTAGAAAATAATTCAAAATAGGAAACAAAATTACAAGAAATCACCTGAATGATTAAACCAAATTTTTATAGAAAACCTTTTTTTATGATCTTACGCATAATCCTTAAATTTTAAGTCCAAAAAGATTTCGTTTACACGCCTCTAAATTTGTATGTGAATTTAAAACATTTTATTTTATAATTAATTCTCTCGAACTGAGCTTTATCTTTGCTTATACATTAAAAATTAGAAACAAAATAACAGCAGATTTATCATTTTCGCCCCAAAATTACGTTCTCAAAGAGAGAGAGGAAGAGGTTTTATTTTGGAGATACGAGACAAGGGTTTTTTTATGAATGTGAGAGAGCGAGAGACCGAGTCGAGGTCCCCATTGAATTATTCCTGCTGCTTATCAGATGGCGTAACTCTTTCTTCCCAGCAGCGGTTGCAGTGAAATCTCGTCATTCCGCGTTGGAATATTCAGGGGTTATGATAAGAGTCCCCCGACTATCCTAATTCTCATCCGGCGCGTCCCGGGGGACCGCTTGAGCCAGTGGCCCTCTCACTGCAGCCCCGACCCGAAACCAAGCAAGATATTCCGCTTACTTGGCGCGAAAAGGATGGCTCGGCTTTTAATTGGCGATCGGGGCCAATTGCGCTTCACCTCTGCTCTCGTCTTTTGTGATTATACCGGAGGAATGCGTTCGTTCGATTTGCGACACCCGCCGCAGCACGCGACACTTCTTTTTTCCCTCCGTAAAAGGAAATAAAATTTCCAAGACCAAATAAAGAGCGGCCAACTTTAATTAAAGCTCAGTTATATTGCACAGCTACTTTTTACACGCTTGCGAGATTATTATGAGAGCAGAGGCGTCCCTCGTACAAATGAATGGTGCCTTACGAACGCAGCTCACGTTGCGCCGCGACTTACATTCACACGCACACGCACGCAGCGAGAGTTTATATACATCGCGTTTATTATTATTACTATTTTCATTGGGAAAGGCCTAGTTGGCTCTATGTAGTGCCATTTGCGCGTTTCTTTTGTGCGTCCTATATATCCTCGATCGTAACACATAACAAAAATTTGCAGGACCGACGATCGTTTTCTAAATTGAATTATAAAAAATATAAATTATATGCATCGTAACTTGAAGATTTTCCACCACGAAACAAGTGTATTTAAACTTTGATAAATTCTAAAGCTAGAGCGGGCAACAAATTATTTGTAAACACCAAAATTATATTTTTTTTCTCAAACGCAATCGTCATTGTTTGGTAGAAATAAACAACAAAAAAGATGATTAAAATAATGATAATCTTGTTAAAAATAAAATTTATAATACAAAAATTATTAAAACTATTTACAAAAGAATTGTATTGAAACAAAGTAAAAATAAGAATAAAATTTACCTTAAATTTTTTATTTAAACTGTTTTTACTGCATAACAATCTTTTTTACGGGAAGTTTTTTGTTTTCAATCAAAAATGAAAAAACTAATTTGAATGGGAAAAGTAAAGATCGTAGAACATCATTTTATCAAAAACTTGACAATAAGTTCATTCAGTTAATAATATTTAATATTGTAAAAGTTAATTTGCTCCCTCTGTGTTATATTTTTTTCTTTATATAGAATGCTTTGCAGGCTGTAAAATAATTGATTGTGATTTAAATTTTCAGCAATTTTTAGTATAATTGAAATCAAAACAGAAGAATTTTCCTCCGCACCTGGCAGCTGGGCTACTGAAAATACTGCGACAGTTTAGCAAATTAATTAAATTCAATTTCAAATTGTAAAAGGGGTTGATTAAAGAAGCACTTTGGGTAGATTTCCATCAATTTAATATCGAACTAGTTAGTTAATTTGAACTTGAATTTAAATTACGCCACTTTTTCCTTCAATTTAACGTTTTCCCCAGATTCATTTAAATTTCTCTGCTTCTCGACTAAAGTAATTGGGCAAGAAAAGTTAATTCTACCTGCTTATTTGTTTGAAAATATGAACAGATTCAACCATACTTAATGGAAAATGTGTGCAAATTTGCAAGACAAAACTGTCCAAACCCCAAATAGAGTCATATATAGTACAGGGAAAATGTTATTCTGTATAATTTGCTGACGTACACAACAATCTAAGATAGAAATCGTTTTATTTATTTTGTGACACCGACGCACATCATAAATATTCGTCCAGCGCGCGGAAATTCGTTGATAGTTTGATGCAACGGTAGCGTGGCCGTCATTCAAGAAGATGAACAGCGCGCACGGGGACGGCAAATGTAAGGGGGGTTGACAGAGTGTCACTCGTAAAACAAAGTCAATTTATATTTCTGCTGACAGGCAACAAAACGGTGGCGCTGAAAACATTATGAGTTATTCGAGCTCACAAAACCCCTGAGCGATTTCTTCGCTTCGAGCTTTTTGCCACAAGGAAAGAAAACGCGCGCCAACCTGAGGTGTAAACAATGGCACCGTTCATTACGCAGCGATTTATTTCATTTGCCAGCGCCGCGCAGTAATATTTATTGCCTCACATTCTGAGAATTACAAAACAATAGAGAAATTGCCGTGCGCGCGTTCGGCGATCGAGCGAGTGATGCCACCATATTGCCTGCTTGGCCGACGACCAATTTGATTTATTGGCAAACGAGTTCGCCAAATAAATCAATCGACCGAAATGCACTCACTTAGAAAGTATGCATGCAAAATTAGATAAAATAGCTCGATTTTCTCCCTTGATGTGCTCCATAGAAAATTTTAAAAGTAACAATTATAAATACGTCTTTGATCCTAATTATTTTATAATTTAATTAATACAATCTACAAAATAATATATAATTATATTAAGAATACTTGTCCACCAAAGCAGCAAACTTATATTTATTAATAATATAATATGTCAATACAAATGCAACAACAGAATAAATAAATTTTGACTACGTTTTTGTTTGTTTAATATAAGTTAAGCTGACTATAGGTAAAAAATTAAAGAATTAAAAAAAAATACTCATAATAATAGTTTTAAATATTAATATTAACAATAAAGAAATTAAAAAACAAAATAAATAATGATAAAAATGATTTAAGAATAAATTATATGTTTCAATTAGCTCTAAACACTTTTATTATCTTATGTCTCAAAAACTGCTAATCGTGGTGATGGCAAACTTCTTTTATGCCGAAATTCTGACGATCTTGTGAAAAAATTCAAATTTGTGACAAATAACACTGACCTATTTTTACATATTACTTGCGACTTTATTGTTGAATATTATTTATCAATAACCATGAATTAATGTTTTACGAATTCTTCACAAGCCATTGAAAATTATGAAAATTGTTAAATTGATATTTTATAAACCACAAGAAAAAAAACACAACCTAGCTCACTTTAATATTTCAGTCTGTTTTGTCCTGATCTATCAATTTTAAGATTCTGACAAAGAATTGTGTCTTTTGAGAATTGGAAACATTAGAATGAGTTAAATTTTTTATTCTTTTCCAGATGGAGCCGTTATTTTATCATGAAAATATAATTTTTAAACCTTCTTCTGAAAGAATTAAAAATCATAATCAGAAAATAAATTTCTCTCGATTATTCCAGAGGAAGTTTCTATCTTTTAATAAAACTTCTACTAAGAAAAAGGAAAGAGCAAGTCCATATAAGTGAGTGGCTCAGCTGGCGAAATTTAGTGCCGATAAAATTATCGAGCGCGGTCTGCTCAAATTGCCACACGTAACTCGAATAGATTATGAATTAAGGAGAGGCGCGGCAGAAAGTTGGTGTGCGAGTTGATCAGCAGCGGCAGAAGCGAACGTGATCGGGGGTGAGCTATTAGGGGTGCAGAGCTGTAAGGGATGAGCCGGGAGAAAAGTCTGCAAATTTGTCATGAAAGAGAAGGCGAGAGAGAGAGAGGGTGTGCTGGCTATTTTGTGGGTCAAATTTGGTCCAATTCAGGGCTGATTGTGTGTCTTCACCCCCCGACGCTGGCAATACATGTAAGGGTGGGCGCGAGCTGGGGGTTGCAGATCGAAATAACTTGAGACACACCCTCGGAATTTATCTTTCGCCGCTGCGTTCTGTAAATAGAACTGGGAGAGGTGTTTGCTGTCAGTCAGAGACTTTGCTAATAATTTTTCCACATTTTTCTGCAATAAAAATAAAATTTGACTAAATTTTCTACAAAATTATTGAAAACACAATGAAATTGAAAGCGCATAAACTCAATTTTTTTCGCATGCTAAATATAAAAAGGGAGAAAATAGTAAAGAAAAAAATAATAATTGAAATAATAATTTTTTTAACAACCCCATTTTGAGGTCAATTGTCCGTTGTCCTATTTTGGAGGTCAAGTATGATTATTCATAATTCATTAAAAATTTGACAATCTAATCTCTCTGTATTTTTAAGTTAAATTTCATATTACTGAAAATTAAAAAAAAAAATCTAAAAAAAATACATAAATTTCTGTTCATTCTAAATTTTATTTTGTAATGAAAAGTAGAAAATTAATGGCCATTCGAAAAATTCCTCAAAGTGAACAAATTGTTTTGCAGAAATGCACTTGGCACTGCCCTTTCTGCTTGAGAAATGCACTTCTTGTACATTTATATTCCCTGATGGATGTTATTTGAGCGGCGAGAGCGAGTGCCGGCCTAACTTAATTTTTGCACTTGAAAGTGGCCTTTACGGGGAAAGCAAAAACACAAGGGTGTGAATGAAGAAAAAGACGTGCGCTATAGCCACCGAAACGGCGCTAGACGGACCTGCCGAAATCCCAAAGGAGCCGCCGCTGCTGTGCTCGCAAGAAAAAAAAGCGGCGCGGGGAAAGTTAGCGGCGGGCAGAGGCGAGAAGTAAAAAACGCCCATTGCACTCAAG